TGGCTACAGCATTCTAAACTTGCCAAGCTTATTCATTATTTTTAAAACTTAAAAAAAAATTTTTTTAAACCCAACACACTTGCCAATGCTGACGTTGTCCATTTACAGGAACTTTAACTGAAATTGAACTTAGAACACTAATATCTCTGTTCTCTCTTTAAAATTACAATCCAGATAGACATATAAAATAAACATGTTTCCCCCTTAGAGAAGAGAATGCAGCCCATAGCTGAATGCTAAACAAAGAAGTTAAGCCATATCCCATCAAACATTTCTCTATTTTCAATTCATCTTGATAATAGAGACAGAACCTGGGTAAATGCATATAGGAGCTGAAGCAGGAGATTTCTCTTGCTCAATGCATAATTCATGTGCTCCGCCTGCAAAGTGTGTAAAATGAGAATTTCACACCGCAGCATGAGGCATGGAACTGCAGAGAAGAGGCAGATGAAATCATATTTTTCAGTGCGAATTCTGCTTCTTATCCTTCCAATATTTATACAAAACCACCATTGACAAACCAAATGCACTGACTGATCACCTACTGTTTCCATTGTGTTAGCAGTTGAAAAGAGATCAGGCAGAAAGATAGACAATTTGTTTTTATATCTTTTTTTAAACAGTGAACCAGATTTTTAACAGTTGACTGACTATATCAGGCTTGTATAGGAGGCCAACAGTAACTGCAAAGACTTTTATTTACCCGTGCATTATATTCGAATCTTAAATTCTTTTTTAAAAGTATGTGATTATAAATTTCAGTGTTTTTTTTTCCAAGATACTTTTAAAGGGTTTTATCTTTATGTAAAGAACTAATTTAAAAGTTATATTTCTAAAGCACCAAACTAAAGGCAGTGTACTATCAAATTATAATTATTAAAATATCAGAAGATATTTTACTTCTATTTTGTAAATATTATAACTATATTACAAATATAATGCCATTATATAAATATACAAATATGTCCACCTCAAATTTATTGTTATGAACCTACAAGAATTCCATAATAACTATCCTCATTAAATGATTTTTAAAGGTATTTGTATTTTGCTCTAAAATGTATTTTAAAAATGTACTGTACTTGAATATTTATAAAGAAAGATGGACACTAATGGGAACTAACAATCATGATTTTAAACAAATAAGGGCTTTAGACCAGAGTTTCCTTACAATCACTATTTTCTCTAAGTAGATGATGTTCCAAATTGCATTTATGACAAGGAATTCTATTTTTTTATTTCCACAAAATAATTTTACATACTTACATGGTAAAAAGCACATTTGGTATAGATATTTTGATATAATAAGATTCCAACAGTCACAAATCTGTAAAATCTCAAAATTATTTACAACGTAAATCATATTAAGCTGTGAATCAACACCACAGAAAGAAATCACTCTCAGAAAAAAACAGCATATGGGAATGCATGCTAATATCACTGCAGACTTCAACCTGTCTGTTTGCACAGGCCAAACATCCAGTAAACTGATACTGAATGTATTTTGGGTGTAAACAAGCAAGAACCTTTGAAACATTTTTTTGCAAGCAATTTTATGGTTAGTTCATAGGGTACTTTTTCTCACACTGGAGGTATTTTCCACACTGAAACCTTGAATTAGGGTGGCGTGAAAAAATGGAAACTAAAAGAAGCAATATATATTTTTCCTACACAAGTGCTAACACCACGGATTAGGTTTTTCCTCAGTGAATGAGCCAAATAAAGCTTTCTCTTTTCAGTCACTGTCACTCATTGCTGACATCATCTGTAGGATTTGGGAAGCCTGAGGCTGCAGATGAGCTGATCAAGATCAGGAGCAGGAAAGGACCACAGAAAGATGAACTACCAGGAAGGAGTTGAGCGTCTTTCATTCAGACACAGTGGGACAACCTGGCAGAATAAGTGTGTAAAGTAGCCGTGTTTACTGAAGCCCTAAACAGGGTTCAGTTATGGGTTTCTTATGTACTCCTTACTTCTCATTTAGAGGAGCTTAAGGAATGAATGAGGGAAAAAAAGAAGATACATAAATAAGCAAAGTGATTCATTGAATTGGATAAATCAAGCTTTTCCAGGTCACCTTGAGGAGCTTTTTAAACATGTCCCTTGATCTGAAAGTGAGAATTATCACTATAAATAGATGAAGAAATATATTTTCTCTTCAGTTAGGCATTAGCTTGCCCATTTACAAAGAACAGGTAAGAGTAAAGAGCATTCCGGCTGTAATTATCACTTTCCTTAAGATAAAGCCATCACCATAACAAATTTCTTTATTGGCTTTTTACCCCATCTTTCTATCAGCTTGCCAATCAAGGCATCTTACAATAGTAACAAGGATATAAAATGTAGAACAAACAATATGCTCAAGTCTTCTCTACAAGATGTTCCAACTCCTCTCTGTTGTTGCCTCTACTGCCAAATCGACCATGCCATTCTCTTCTCCAGCTCTATTATTTAGCTCTTTGGGCATAAGAAAAAGATTGGATATGATGGAAATCAATTGTAAAGGTGAAAAGTCAAAGCTGTGAATGATTATGCCCTATGGAAGTCTCTTTACGATGTTGCCTCTGATGTTCCTCAATGCTCCCAGTTTCAAAAAGGATGTTTGTCTTTGATATATGTGAACCTATGCTCCAAAACTTATATTTTACTTTTTCATTCTTTCTCCATCACCAAGTCCTTAGTTATAAAGACAGATCCACTTATTTATTGCCTTCTGTGGCATTTTTTTTTGTAGTGGAGACCTGAATGTCCAATCAAATATATACTAGAATTTAGACCTCTCCACCAGCAGTTTTCACTTTCATGAAGGGAAGGGAAAAATCAATAAGGTATAGTGAAATTAGAAATTAAATGTGTTTGTTTTTTAGACTCATTTCTCAACAAGGGGGAGAACATGAAGGGCAGTTACAACTATAGGAAAATAGAAAAAGAAAGGCATAACAAACTGTTACATGAAAGGATAAGAAAAATCAAGAGAGAAAAAGAGAAATAAAAGAGGAAGAAGTAAATTTAATACAAAATTAATATATAGGGTTTGAGATTTGCCTGACTATGTATTTGCTGTATTGTTGAACTACTCCTTGAAAAAAAAACCCTAGCCAGTGAAGACTAAACTGGAAAGGGTATAAGGTAAGGCAGGTAAGAAAACGGACCCCATAAACTCAAAAATTCTATTAATTGATATAGTATATCATAACCAATTCTTAGAAGATGAATAGCATTTCTGCTTCCCCCCCTCTTATACCAAGGAGCAATTTTACTTTATTCTTTCTCATGCTTCCTTGTTTTCTTGGATCAAGTTGTTTTGCTAATGGTCTTCACATACCTTCTGCAAGGTCATCTCTGTACTTGTCCTTAGGCAGGTACAGATTCCTTACCACTAGAATACAGCATAGCTTTTCAGATTTCAAACAAACCTATCAGTATGTGCAATTTGCTAAAGTCTATTCTCAACAAAAGCATGAAACTCCGTTGCAAAGTTGAATGTACCTTTTTTTCATGAAACACGAAATCTCATTATAATGAGATTTTAGAATATCTCAGATTGCAAGACTGGGACAGCTACTGATCAGACACTTTGGAAAACTACCACCAGTCACATCAGTCAATACTTGTTTGATCAAGCAACAGTTTGGTAGCTCTGTATGATTAGCTATTATTGTCGGCGGATTGCCATATCTTTTATACTGATTATCTCTCACTGTAGAATCAGTAATTTGGGAAAAAAATGTTTGCTAACATTCTCTAGTGCAGAAATAAAACTTTTGAGTCAGACTGCAAGGTGCCTTTATAATATTTATTCTTGCCAACCATGACAGCAGATGTCTTATTTTTAACTGGTCATAAAATACAACCTTCAGTATTTCAGAGTCAGCCACAGATGAGCTTTTATAAGCATGATTGCGGCGCTTATCATTTGGCAGCAATTAAGCCTGCCACAACCTTCTAAGACAACAACTATGATTTTTGTGGTCCATTGATATATGCCTATACCATACATGCTTCAATATATTATAAAGTAATAAACTTTAACTGTAGCCTGTATTTTTCTTCTGTATGTTTATATTCAGCAGACATCTGATATTTTGTCTTGCTTCTGAAAACAATGATTACCCTGGTTGCCTTTTTTGCCATATTCTCCAATAAGATGAGAAGACAAACTGAGGTGTCAACCCATACCAGGGTTTCATGGCGCTGAAAGCAGCAGGAGAAATTCTTGCAGGTTCCATGTGTTTGAAATTCAATACCCAAATCAAATCAACCATCTTATAGAAAAAAAAATCAGGAAATGTACAACAAAATTTGCAGAATGCAAGCTACTCTGGAATTTTCATTTCTTCAACTTTAATGTTTTCAGTTGAAAGTATTCATGGGTTGAAAATGAGCTTCTCAGGGCAGCAAGAATACTATATCCTACATAACTAATGCTATTATTTAACACATTACTATGAACATAAAATGACTTCTATAGAAGTTATATATATATTTAGACTGCCCAGAGCATACTTATACTAAGGAGAGTAAGCAACAGTAATTAAGTGTTTAAAACTTTGATGCAGAGCAATTTATAGTGTACCTTTCAATTGAATTTTCAGTTTTACTTTATTTATTTTTGAAATTTACAAATGATGTATGAAAAACCAATTCCCTTAGAAGATGAGTATCAATAATAACCTGATTGATCATAACCAGGTATACAAATATTATAAAATCTTTTTGGTATTTTTATGCTTTATAACATACATGATAAAATAGACATGTCCCAATCCATTAGATCATTCTACAGTGGTTGGTTATTAGCAGCCAACAGCCTTCTTAAAAAAAAAAAAATCAAACACCTATTTATTTTCACTAACTTTAAAATAATGCTTTTGCAAAAGAGTTCCAATCCAGAGAAAAGAGACGACACAAATTTTTGAGGCATCTTATACACACTTACAGAAACAATTGACAATATAATTTCAAGATATGTGTATTTAAACAATATATACAAGACATACCTTAGGAGGAAGAGGATCCAAATTGTTTTCAGAATCACTTTCTGAGGTAGAATCTGAAGAACTTTCCTCAGCTGAGCTAGATTCTGAGTTGGGAGAACACTGCTCTTTCTGAGAATTCACTTTATTATTTTCTTTTCTTTTAGAATCTCTAATATAAAATAAATACAGAATAAAAACATTTATATGTACAATATTAGGTAGCCTTGACAGAAATTATTTTCAGCAGCATTTCCCAGAAATTGTATCTTCAAAAATTAGTGTACACATAATATAAAATATTACTATATAATTAATATTATACTCAATTATTAATAATTGATATTGTCAATTATATTTATTATAATATTACAATTATAAATATGTATAATAAGCATTGCTTGCTACAAACAATATGCTCAATATAGAACTCAGGTATAATAAGGTATTCTTGATTCATGTGATTTCCTCCATCTACTTACACATTGAAATATTCTCTTTTGTATTCTGGCATACTGCACTTATACTTTGCAAAAACTACATAAAGTGAGCATCCTGTTCCAATTTCCATGCAAGATGAAACTAGCAATAATCACAATTTGACTAATTCAAACATCCTCACAAAGTATGATTATCAAAGATTTAGTGTGGAAAAATAATTCTGGCATACAACACACTCACAAGACATTTCAGAAATGAAATAAAATATGTGGGTCCAAATCATATATACAATCAAAATATATAAATTGCATGTAATTTGGATGTATATATTATATGTTTGTATTATCTTTTTAAATGTTTATTAATCTATAAACCACCCAAAATTGCTGTAAATGTGAGATGGGTGGCACAGAAATTTAATAAAAAATATATACTTCTGAAATAAATGGGTCTAAACTGAAATGGCTACTACATTTCAATAAATTAATTGTATCACACAATATGTTTGATTATTAGAAAAGCTAAATATGGTCATAATCATTTTGGAGATTTTGGAGAAAGTATATAATAATATTATCTGAGGAACCATAATAATAAACCATAAATTATTAAAGTTACACTTTTAACTGTTATATTTTTAATTTTATTTATTGTATGTCCAAAAATTTATAAAAAATATTTATAAATATTAATAGATTTAAAATGTTACATTCCTATGCCACCCATCTCCCAATGACAGATGGCCTTGATCATAACCAATAATATAAAAGTAAAGTTTTAATCCTGATAAAAGCATTGAAGAAAAAAAATCAATACAAAAAAAAAACAGCACAAGAAAGAACAATGGCAATACTGTATTAATAATTTATTAAATATTAACAACCAGTAAAAAAAATTAAAAAATAAAACCATAATATTCTATATGAGAAGTGTCTATTTGAGCAATATATCCATACCTTTCACCTCTATTCTCCACCTCTATCTTCATGAGACAGCTTTAATTCCAAATATGATTCATCAAAGCTCTAGTATTCATTTAGTGAAATGAAATACTTTTTAAAAAATCCAATTTCTAATTTGAAGCTATGATTTTTCAGGACAAACTTATTTTATTACTTAGGTTTTTTTTATAGGCAAATCTTTATTTATCTTACTGCTTAAGAGTTTCATGTGTTAATCTAATGAAAAAAATTTACTGGTAACTAGCTTTTTAACTTTGCAATGATGAAAAGCCTGTATTAATTTAACCTACAGATTTCATTTGTTCTGAACAGGAAAAACAATATAAATCACTTTTAAAATCATTAAATCCTGACTTAAATTAATAAAGTCATAATTAGGGCATTATGCTGTGTTTGTTATGGAAGTGGCAGGGCGAGCTGCTTTAATTACTGTCTGTAATAAAAGGAGCACAGTGCATACTGAGCCACAATCAGCTCTGTCAGCCACGACTGAGCTGAGCTGCAAACTCATCAATGCATTGGCGGCAGGCTACAGAGTAAAAGGGCCATCATGTCCACCGAGGCCACTTGCTGACAGAAGTGGAAGAAACAGATTCAGACAATCCAAGGTATTAGCCCCAATTACTTAAATTCTTAATGGCATTTTAATACACATTAACTCTATTAGTAACAGGCAATCTTTAAAAGACCTTTCCCTTAAGCAGCTTCTGACCGTCTCTCTTCACAGCCCTTGCCTCCAATATCTGAATCATAATCCTTTTAATATAATATTATTTAGGGAAAAATCAATTGCCTTAGTTACCTAATGGCAAGATATAGAACGGTTTAATTTTATCCTTCACAAAATTACTATATAAGGTAACTAAGTGTTTCACAAAGAGGCAGGCTAACTGTACAGCCTCCCAAGGTTATGTTAATATGGTCTGCTCATCTAACATGAGCAGAAGATTTTTTTATAAAAAGGTTTGCTCAACTTACATGTAACTATATCATCTGAAATTACAGAATGGGCAACATTTTTTTCCAAAGTGCATGTCACTATGAAGGTAGTGAAATATAAAAGGCTGTATAATTTCAACATTGTAATCTAGCATTATAAACAAGTACAGAACAAGTACCTTTCTGAAACTGTTGTTCTTTTTCTTCGAATTCCTCTTTCAGACTTTGGTTTCCTATCATTCTCATCTTCAGTAGAAGAACTTGAGCTACTTTCCGTGCTAGTATCATCTTGCCCGTCTTTCTTTCCTTCCTCAGAGTCAGATTCATTTTCTAGTTGTATGCATGAACAATTCAGGTGAGTAGCTTCTAACACTACCTTCCAATGATGTTTAAGCATTCTTATACAATCTTATCATAAACAGTGACATAAAAATGTTGCTTTCACAGCTTTTAAACATTGTATGTTTAAAATCTAGGCTTAGTTTTTGACCATAACATGTTTGCAGGATGATGGAAAAGGAAAGAAATCAGACATGACCTACATGTCCTCTATCCTTACTTTCCTGCTCTAACATAGTGTCATCTTCAGAACTTAAGTATTTAATCTATTCTTGCACACACATCCAGTGATGACAATTTAATCAGGAATTTAAACAAGTTATTCAGTTTCTAATCGGCTGGAAAGTGTTTCTAATATTTAACTTGAAGGTGCGCTTTCCCAGTTTCAGTCCACTGCTTCTAGTCATTATCCTTAATAATCTTTAGCAATTTTTCTCTTGTTTCCCAGTGTTCAGAGGACTAGCCCCACAGGATTTGAAAATGTGTCCTTTCTATATTTATACATGTGTATCTATATTTACATACTTGTATTTCAATAATTTCATTAAATTAAAATGATAGATGGGAGGACCCAGTGCAGATATAACATTGTAGATATAATCGGAATGAAGGTGTAAGAAAAAGAAAATGAAAGCATTTGGACATATTAGTAACAAACCATTCATTCATTATTTCAATTTATCTCTATCTTTATGTTTTAAAGGAGACCCAAAACTTAGGATTCCAGCATCACAATGTGAAAATGGAACTATGGAGATTTGAGATTATTTAAAATTTAAGCACATGCCACTTTCTACTTAATCTTAAATCTTAAAGTGGCTTATAGAGTATCTGTAATCAAATTGTCTAAAACAAGTGGCTGTATGTATAATTATATAGGAGCAATAATTTTATTTATTTCTGAATATATGAAATAAAGATGTGATTAAAATAAACAAAAGAGTGTAAAAATGTTGGGTGCATTTATATATCTTACTACAACTACTTGACACAACTACTACCATTACCTATAAACTGGAATCATTCAAGCCTTGGTAGTACAGGGGTTTAAGGCACCCTGTTATTAAGCTGGTTATTAAGACCAGCTGCCTGCAATTACTGCAGGGTTCGAATCTCGCCAAGGCTCAAGGTTGACTCAGCCTTCCATCCTTTCTAAGGTAGGTAAATTGAGGACCCAGTTGTGGGGGCAATAAGCTGACTTTGTATAAATATACAAAAGGATGAAGGCTATTGCTGAGCACATTGTAAGCCGCCCTGAGTCTTCGGAGAAGGGCGGCATATAAATCAAATTAAAAAAAAACAAAAAAAACCCTGTAATATAACTGATGATATGCAGTGGTATTGATAGTGTTAAGAGTACTGCTTTTAGGTTCAAACTCCACATCTCCAAGCACCCCCCTTCTTTTTCTTAAAAAGCCCCTTCCTTCTCCTTGTTCTGTTCCCCCACAACACACAGCTGCAATGGCACATTTTTGTTTTTTAAAAGACTTCAGCTGCTGCTTTAGCTGGCACCTTCATATACTAAAAGGCTTTTATGAAGCTCTATATGATGGCAAAGTAAGAAAGAAATGGCATCAGTAAAGTAATGAGAAAATAAATTGTATGCAGAAGAAGAAATTGGAAAGGAGGAGAAAGAAAGTGCCCTGGGAGAGAAGAAATGAGTAGACAAAAGCTGGGAGTGGGCTGAGGCACAGCCTGCAGAAGAACATACCACTCTCACTACTGCTAGAAGAATCGTCACTTTCCTCATTAGTGTCCTCTTCCTCCTCTTCTTCATCAGACTCAGGATAAAATTTTTCAGTGGTTTCTTTTATTGCCTTTCCTTGTAGATAAGACTGTTCTTTTGCCTATTCATTTAAATGGACAGGTTTATACAGCTGAAGTAGAAATATTTATACTTATCCACACTTTACAGCTCTCTTTTGGGTCCTTGTATATATATTACTCTGTGTGTGTGTATACACACACATATACACACACATACAGTAATGTAAACCCTCTAAATTTGGAACAAAAATATGGGCATTTTTACTACTTTTATTACTATTTATTTACTACTATTTATTACTAGAATAATAGTATTTATTAGACAACAATAATGTCATTAGATTTATAGGCCATTTTACAATAAGGAATGTTTAAAAACACACTTTTCAACATCAAAACCTGTTTAAAATAAACCACATTATCTAGTTTTTTGTAACAACAATAGTTATTGTACAACAATAACAACGGCAGTAAAGATAATGCAACACATATCCTTCTCTACATTCCTACTCCCAGAATCATTTTCATTTTGTTTTGATGAATTGAGGGAAGAAACTAAACAGAACATTTTAGGATGTGCAGTGAATGACATTTATCAGCAATAGTTGCAATTATCTAGGAATAGCCATTATGGTTTATTAATCTGAAAACACCTTGCCAATTAATTTGGGAAAGCTGAATTGGTTGGAGTAATTAAACTTGAACAAGTGAAGTTGGAAAAAAACGTAAGATATCAGACAGAACATACTGAACATCAGCAGAGTAATGCAGAGAACTTCAAAAGAATTATTTGGAACAGAAGCCTTATTTTGCAATTATGTTTATTAAAATACACCTTAAACCTGAAAAACATATAGTAAGATAGATTTACAGTTTCTTGTTTCCAAAAGTATAAAATGCTATTTTGAAAAGTCAACATACCAATCCAACTTCTTCTACATTTCTCACTGACGGGTCAGGTGCAATTTCCGGCCAATTAGACAATTCCAGATAGCCAGTGGCTTTCATGTTCAGAGTATGAGACAAAGTACCAAGTTGGAAGTGCTCCCTATCTATTTGAGGGTGGGAAATATGAAAAATATACACATGAGCGCTGTATCATAAAGAGCAATCTTAATCAGGACTAAAGGTAATTGGTATTACATTACTTCAAATGTCATGGAATAAATATAAACAAGAAGCTCTTCATAGGTCAAAAAACTGATTCCAGTCCATAGATTACAATAATCTCCCCCATAATGGTCAATAAAAAAGCTAATCAGTCAGTGTATTTAAAGGTGTTGATCTGAAATGTAGCTTCTCTAAAAATTACTTTACTGTGAATATTAAGAATGACAGCACAGTTAAATAAACCATATACATGTCTTGGCACAAACACATCCAGAATGTTAATAGTTTTTCTTTCAGAAGGAGTGCTGCTTTCAGGACTTAAAGTAGGATTAATATAGGATAGTATGTGAAAATTTAGAAAGCAGATAATGAAAATGACAAAAGTACTAATTATCATTATGATTTTTAGGATTAGTTAAATAGTAATGGAGAAGGTACCACATGGCAATTCTCTATGCAATAATTTAGAAGAATAACATCAGTAATCCTGATACGCCAACAAAAATGAATATGGGACTCTAGTTTCATGTTGCTATATCAGAAGTATAATGAATACTCTCTAAAGTGAAGTTAGATATCTTCTTAAGATGCTAAAGATATTTTCTACACAGACTGCGCTTAGCACAAATTATAATTATTTTTCCAGAAACTTATACCATATATGAAAACAAACATTTAAATCATATCTGATTTCTGTTTTTTAATTACATTTCACACTAGCAAACAATGTACACTTCTGACTGCTTTCTTAAATACTGAAAGCTGAAATCATATTGTTTATATGCTATTTTTTAAGATGACCACTTGGTTATTTAAATATATAAGAACTAGATAAAACAGATGCATGTCTCTATCTAACATTAGATAGAAAATGTAGCTAGCATACCTTTAAAAGGTGACTCAAGTAGTGGGGCAGGCTTTTGTACCAGAAATATTTTTTTGGCATATTTGTTTAAAGCTCCACTCTTGTCGTTTGGAACAATAAGCTGCCTAATAAATCTTGTTCGGTCTCTGATGTCGTAGCTTTGATCATACTTGCCGAGGTTTAATATGTACTGGGTAAGCAATTTTGTCTGTGAAAAACAGGACAAGAAGAAAATACAAGTTATTTATGATTATTGATAACTCTGGATAAACATATTTAAAAAGGTAATAAAAATGAATGGTTATGTCAAACAAATGTTGTTCCATAGGGAATATGCATTTCGAAAGCAGTAAATGGAATTTTGAAGCCAAAGCACATGTCCTCTTCTGCGTAGGGGAGGTGAATGCTGAGTACTGAGAAGCAGCCATGTGCTAGATTATTAAACTGCTGAAGTGGAAAGAAAGGCATCATTAAAAAAATAATCATATATGGCAAACCCGCTGAAGGGCCTACGTGAGAATAATGAATGTGGAAATACAACTAAAAACATGGCACTCAAAACTTAATCGGAAAAATATGCAGGACATCAAAACATCAGAGGGTATTAGGAGGCTGGCAAACTGCTTCTGCTGAGGTGTGTTTTATGAAGAGATACTGTCCCTGGCACAAGCCGTCTCTGCACTCTGACTGCACTCAGTTACTTTACTCTGAATTATGACCCATTAAAGCAGACACATGAATCACTGAACTGGATTACTGCAAATTATTTGCAGTGCATTTAGCTGTTACTTTTTCATAAAAGCAAGCTGCTGATGCCCTCTAAAAACCAGGATAAAAGACTTCTTCCATTTTTCCTCTCACAGCTTAAAGCCTCGGGTAATATTGCTCATTTATATACGTAATAGCAAATTATATTACCTCAGCTTTTTACAGCATAACTACATCCTTTAATTTCATGTAGAAATATTAATTACTAAAATTATTCAATGCATACTGCTTAATTTTTGCATTATAAAAAAACATTTATAATGCAAAAAAACATTGGAAATGCACAAATAGTTTGCATAAATTGTATATTTGGTTTGGCAGATATCTATAAAACACAATTGATAACAATATAAAAATACATCATTTAAACACAAAATATAGTAAGTATTATATTTATTCCACTTGTGATAAGCTATGTACATTACTTGATCTGAACATCTTTTCAACAGTCACACCTTTGCATGGCACAGAATTATATTCTGATGAATAAATGTATTATTTCTCAAAAAAGAAATTAGGAAAGTACAATATATTTATATGAATGCATGACATTCATATAATGTATTTATTTGACATAAACATCTACTGTTTTTATTCCTGAAATGTTACATTTTAAGCAGTACACTTAAACAAATGGGGTAGATAATAATTTCCCCAGTCAAGACAGATTTGTATTAACTACCAAATACTATTAAAAGAGTCCAGAGAGATATTTATTTAGATGTTAGGTGTTAAGGAATCCTAATATTTAATATTCCTGGTAATTTGGTAAAATTATCTGGTAATTTCGGTGTTTGTTAGTATTGGAATACCAACAGTAAGTCAAGTCTACTGCTCTGACTGCCAGTTCTATGGATTGTCAGACTGAATTGGGAACCATTTTTTAAATTTTTGATCTTCTTCTTTCATTCATTTTCATTCTCACTAAAAAGATATAGCTAGACCACTAAACTGGAAACATGCGTATTTGAAAACAGAAGTGTGAAACTTCAATAAAATTTAGTTTACCACACTATATAAACCCATGTAATTCTCAAGTTGAAAGTATTTAATAAAAGTGGCCATTTTCAATCTCTGGATTAATTTTTAAATGATTATCATGAATAGTTATATTGAGCTGAGCTGACTATTATAATTAAGAAGGTTGGATCTGAATAGTACTTTGGTGAGAGATTATCAAGTAATTCCAGGGTTTTAAGCTATTGGAAAATAAAAAAATAATCCTGGGAAAAGGCAATGGCATCCACATAATCGCTAGAAATCAAGGTCAACTCAAGGGAGTTTCACCTTACTACTGATATTCAACTGACTCAGTTACATTCAAACTTAGTAAAAGGGGAATGTGGCTCAACTGCTGAAACAATGCTTTTAAAACAAATTTGAAGAAAATGATTTGTGGTTATGTTTAAATAGCACCTTTCACAAAATCAGCATGCAGCTCATCTTCTACTTAAATATTCTACTACTATCCGAACAAGTCTGTCTCAATTTTGTATGTAGTGCATGGCATAAAAGCAGTAAGACAATACAGGCTGGTATTACCAACTAACCTGCATTTGCTACTACTGCAAAGACAATTCAAGATAATACCAGCAACATAAAATAACATTATTATTGGCCTTCACATACAATTATTACAAGGGTTTATAAGTAACTGCTTCTTGACAATTTTATTCAACACACCAGGTGATAAGGCCAGAAAGAAAGATGTTGCAAATAATTAAAAAATTATCTCCCTGTAAATGTCCCTATCCTGTGCAGGGGAAAATATGGTGCTAGTTAGGACAAATGAAATAAAGAAGAAACATCCCCGTCTAATTACCTTGCAAAGGACTTGAGAAATAATACATTCTGTCAGTTCAGCCACAAAAACATTTAGAAGGCTAAGGAATGCTGATAAAGCTGGGAGAAGATATTAGGAATTAAGCACAGATTCTGGGAACCAAGGAGAGTTGAAGATTCATTCACAGAATACCTTCTTTGCTCATTCAATGGACCTCTGTTTTTGTGACTCCACTCCATCACCTCAGAGAAATTATATCTGACCTTACTATCACATAAAATACTATTATATCCAATCATATTCTATCAACTGTATATACTAATTTGCATACATCTAGATACTGGAATGGTCTTTTAGCTGTTCTCGGTTACTGTCATAAACAATCTGTGCTTTAACAAAAATTGTGTGGTTTTTTTTATTTGAAAAGAGCCCTTAGAAAAATTTGTGAGAGAGGCTTGTTATAACTTGGTGTCAGCAATAAAATATCCAGAAAAACAGAGGTGGTGCCAAACAGTTCTGCACCAAGCATTATGCATTCTTCCACTAAAGTATAAATTGGTCATGTGTATGGTTCCCTGCCTAACCAGGGTTTGAGCTTTGTCAATGTCCTCGTTGTATGTGCATACATGAAACCCTGTCATGGAAAGCACTGTGTCCAGAAAAGGCTGAGTGGACTCTATTTTGTGCCTAAAGCAGGACAAGTTCTGGGTCTGCAATGAGGGATACCCTGAGAAACAGCTGAGACAGAAAACACCCCCCAGGCTGGGAACTGTCCATACTTTAGGGCCCCTGGCATTGTCTAGGTTAGGGATGTGGCTATGGGAATTCTAACTGAGCTCATGAAAGTTATTTGTGGCTCTTGGGCAATAAATAGCATACCTGTACAAAATCTCTTGGAGAGATGCAGACAAGAGTCCCAGGGAGGTGTGAAGAACCTTTGATCACATAGTTATAGTAAATCTACTTCTTCCAAAGTTTCATTGTATTGTTTTCATTATTCATTTATGTGCATTTTTATAGAACACTATCATAGCTGAGGAAAACTGTAATTCTGATGTTTTCTATTAGAACAGCTAAAGGCTCAATTTTGCTAGTAATGAGTAGGTACTTTTTTAGTACTGCAAACTAAACTGGTCCTTTTTGTTTCTGTCTGTCCAGAACATGCCAGAAACCAGTGCAAATTACTCTCTTTTACTGATTTCTTCCTTTCTGAAAACCTGTCCAACAACAGAAGTAAAAGGAAACACCCCCCCCTTTTTTTGTTGTTCCTTCTTGAATCCTTGAGGATATACTGGGTCCTCTAACTGTTCTTCATTCCATCTTTCTAAAACAGAGTATTAGATACGAACCATCATCAATGTTACTGACACAAGTGAAAGGTTTTTGGTTATTTTTGGTTATTGGTAATGTTTGGCATTTAAATAGAAATTTATCCAATGCCTTGAGACATTTGCAGAAATTTGTCTTAGCAAGGATTCAGTTTTGAACTCATGGATTTCAGTTTTAAAATACACTTACCAAGGTAGGCCTCAATACAAAGTGAGGTTTTTGCTTTAGATTATATGTTTCTGAATATTAAAGTGATAACTGTGGCCTTTAATTTTATGATTTTCAAAGTGCAAAAGAAAAACTTAACATTCTAATTTTATAAATGGCTGTTCCATTCATTCAAAGTTTTATTCAGTCAAATTTAATGAACTATTTACATAGTTATGTTTGTGATTTCACACATCAATGGTATTTTAATCTTACCTGTTTTGAGTTGGTTAAATACAATTTTGCGCCAAGATTTAAAATTTGCAGCTTTACAAGATCATCTTCCACAGTGAAGCTCTTGGCCATTTTCCTTAGAACATCAGGGGCTATTTTCGGAACTCGTTCACAGTATTCTCCAGTAAGCCAAAGAATGCTGGCTCTTGCAACAGGAACCTTAAGCAATAAATCAATTAAAATAACAATTTATAACCTTATTAAATGCCTTTTTGAAATTGCTTCTCTAATGGTACACTAGTAACAACTTAAGATAACTTAACAGAGACTCTCCACATATTTTAACCTTTGAATTTACCAAATGATTATTTACAGCAGCTGTGATTTTTCCTAAGGAGCTTTCCAAGCAGTTAAGAGATTAAGTAATTGAAATTGCTGGTGAAATTAGTCACTTAGCTTAAAACAGGCTTCTATACCACTTTAGAACAAAATAGTTCCAATACCCACATTAAAACAACTTTCTTTAAATGATGGATCAGAAAATGTTTTGCGATAATTTCATTGGGCTCCTGGAAATGCACATTTCCAGTGTTTCTTAAACTGATGGGAATGAAAAAAAATGTTAATTCCAAAGAAGAAGCAAAGTTAAGCAAAGAACTCCCTATTTTTACTATATTCTTAACCATTTGGACCAAGTTAATTTAAATAGCATACACATTTAAAGACTGCTATCTGCACATAACCTAATATTACTGCCCTTTGTATGTTTTGGACTTGTTTCAGGAAAGCCACAGTTGAGTATTTCCTGAAAGGTATTAAGCTTATAATACCCCATGAGAAGGAACACTGGGGACCATGCTGCTTTCCTGCGTATTGTCACTTAGCAGAGCATGGGTACACAAAACTACTGAAATACAGGCACTCCCAACAGAATGGGACGTGATACTCATTATGTAGATACAGTCCTGTGGTTGTAGAAGATAGAGCATAACTATAAGGCTGTGTAGGACTACAATCTAGAAAGATCAAACAGTGTTCCTCCCTGGCCAGCAGTTCTAACAGGATCTAGGATAATTTGCCACAGCCAACTCGCCATGGCCAACTGACTGCAGGATAACTTGCTGTGGCCAACTCGCCATGGGACAATTCAACATTGCTAGGACTCCATGCTCTGGCTCATCTCAGCCTTGAAGACTTCTAACTTGAGAAGGTTCAAAACTAAAACAAGACAAAGTCCACTGCAATTTACTTTTCCCTCTCTTGAGTCCTGCATTGAATTTCCCATTGCGAGTTGGCTGCGGCGAGTTGTCCCGTGGCAAGTTGGCGAGTCGCTTTGGGCAGATTGGTCTTGGCGAATTGTCCAATTCTGGTTCTGATACCTATCTAACTGTTTTAAGGGAGAGAGGGCAAGATAGAGAACACTTTGTTTTCCTACTATGGAAAAAAATATTATTTTTCTATGTCATTTATGCAAGGGAGAGGATGACAATGATAACTTTGGAAGAATATTTAAAATTTTCTAAGTAATGGAAGACACAGGATTTCATGTAACAAATTTTCATATATTGCTCAAGGAATCTGGTGGAGGAAAGGTCCAAGGTGCCTGCACCCTTCTAGAATAAGTTGTGTTTTTCTCCTTTTATTTTTTTTTTCCATAAAAGGAGAAAAATAACCTAATTGGCCATTTGGGTGCTCTAAAAGTAACAGAAGCACTTTCCCCACTACCAAATGGGCAGAGATGTCAGGCAAAGACCTCTATTGGAAAACATACTGTATAAGTATATAATTGTTCAACAACTGAAACAATATTGTAGGATCAACATATATGATTTTAGAGAAATAACAATAGCTAAGAATTTATCAAGAGTTATGCCTGATTTAAGGAGGTACCAACAGATATGATGTCTACATCAAAACATACTCATCATCTTTTCCCCTCTGAATATATTTTACTACACATATAAAGACACCAATCATCTATAAAGTTGCAGGCAATCTACCTAAGTTTTTAGTTTAATAGAAAACTAAAGTTGCTAATCAAGCAATGCTACTGATAAAAAATGAATATTCAGTGCTTTATAATTCCTTCCAAATCAATTCATCATTATCTTATTTATTCATTTATTCCACTTTATTTTTATAAATAACTCAAGGTGGCAAACATACGCTTTTCTCCTATTTTTCCTACATCTCCTTGTGAGATGGGTTAGGGTTAGGGTCAACTGAGAGTTCCTGGACCAAAGTCATCCAGCCAGCTTTTGAGTCTAAGGCAGCAGTTCTCAACCTGTGGGTCGCGACCCCTTTGGGGGTCGAACAACCCTTTCACAGGGGTCACCTAACACCATCAGAAAACACATCATCGCACTAACCCCATCACATACATCGCGGAGTATCTTATGGTTGGGGGTCACTACAACATGAGGAACTGTATTAAAGGGTTGCGGCATTAGGAAGGTTGAGAACCACTGGTCTAAGGCAAAACTACTACTCATAGTTGCCTGGTTTCTAGCCTGGTACCTTAACCACTATAGACCAATATCTATGGAGTCACCCAGGTCATGATTGTCCCAAAGGTGCTTTTTCAAAAATCAACTGGACTTTCTTTGTTTTTCCTTGAAGATATTCTGCTTCTTATCAAAGAAGCTTCTTCAGTTCTAACTGAATAGTAGAGAATTAAAGGATGTATATCCTTGCAATCATCTGGTCAACACAACATACACATGCACACTTTAAAACCAAGAATACACTAAGTCAGAAGCTTGGCCACCCCAAGGATAAAAAACCCTGACACAAACTGAGAAATGTGATATATGCAGTACAATGCAATGATACATGTGCAGATCTGTACCTTGGAGAAACAAAACAACTACCATATTTTTTGGAGCATAAGACACACCGGAGTACGCAGCTTAGTTTTTGGGGCGGAAAATAGGGGGGGAATCTGCCTACCACATATTCCTCTGGCTAGCGTCCTTAGTTTGGTCAGCTTCAGCACATTAATTTGCTGGTTTTATCCCGCTTGGGGATAAAAAACAGCTTCTAAAGCACAGCTGAGAGGGAGCAGCAATGAGAACAGCAGGCAAAGCACGGAGATCCCTTCACTCACTAACGCCTCGTTAGGGCTGAAAAAAAGCTTCAAAAAAGCTACATTCAGAGTATAAGACGCACCCAAATTTTCAGCTTCTTTTTTTGGGGGGGGGGGAGTGTGTCTTATAGTCCGAAAAATAAAGTACTTCACAAACACATGGCACAACATAGCAAAACAAACCCATCAAGACAAGATTCAGCAGTCCATTTGCATTCTGGAGAGAGGACCAGTTGTTTGAAAAAGGGGTCAAAAAGGTCATCTACAATAAATTGAATAGCCCTCTCTCAATAGAGGGGGAAGGATATGACATCAGCTATTTCCTGTTTACAACACGGTCCTTTCAGCAGTTCCAAGAAGGTTCCACACCCATTTGCATTATTCAAGTGACCCTGGAGGCATAGATAAACCTCCAAGTGGCCTCAATGATTCTCAGAGAGAGGGTACTAATGACCAGATGACTGCAAGGAATATAAATCCTTTCATTCTCCACCATTCAGTCAGAACTGAAGAAGCTTCTTGTATGAGAAGCGAAACATCTTCAAGAAAAACTAAGAAAATCCAGTTGCCTTTTGAAAAAGTACCTTTGGTATTATAAACCAATCTTAGTCTGCCTGTTCTAATTTTTCCCAAATTACTTTAAATATTATTAAGTGGAGTTAAAAACATTACTATCTGAAAAGAAACTCAGAAAATATCTCTTGCTGTTTACTAGATCAGGGGTCCCTAATTACCGGGCTGCAACCTATTTGGAACTGGGCCGCGTGAGCAGCAACAGAGCGGGTTTGCATGTGCAGGTCCACTCACATGAGCGGCAGATGAGCACATGCACAAAGCTCCACTCATGTGAGAGGTGGCTGCTGGTGCGTGAATGTTGATTTGCATGAGCAGCGTGCGCTTGTGCACGAATGTTGATTCGCTCTCACGAATGGACCTGTGCACATGCACACGCATGCCTACCACTTGCAAGGAGCAATCTCTCCCCACGCCAGCCAAAATACAGATGGCTTATATCTCTAGTTCTAGACTCTGGATGAAGAAGCATGAAAGACAGTGTAAGGGATGAAGGTGTCAAGATAAGGACTAGTGCTGGTTAGACCCAGAGAGTTATAAAACCAGCCTTTTATGAGGACCATAGATAAGGCAAAGTCACTTTAAGTTTCTTCCTTTCCCAGGCTTAATTTATGTTTTGTTAACTGCCATGTTCCTTCTACAATGTCATCTATGTGGTTTTGTATATGCTGATATATGACTTTTTTTGTTGGCAATAACTTACAACTTACCTAGCAGTATCAAGTCTTTTAAGAATAGAGATTTATATTTCAGTCTGATCTGAAATTTGAGCCATATTGGGCTGCCAATCTCAGAAAATGGGACAGCTTTCTTTTTTGCCCTTGGTTCGTCTGTATTTGCTTAGGGTTAGATTGTATAGATACAATCTACACTACAATCTACAATCTGCAAGTGATCTATAATAGATTATCTAATATAAAAATATTCTTAATGTCAACGGGGTACATAATATATTGCATTAATTGATTTAAAGACAGCTTTTGACTCAATTCACCAAAACAGGTTTTGGGCAAAGTTTATCACATCCTGTAATGGAATGTATGAATGACCTTGGGAAAAGAGAGGAGGAGATGCTCCCTAGGAAACAATCAGACAAAAGGCAGGAGGCTACAGTTGCTTAATAGTCAGATAAAGAAACTTAACAAAGGCCCTCCATAATAGATCAAATAATTAAAAGCGGAGGCAGGAGGTCTCTGCTTTCAATTGGCAAGATTCTGTTAATGTAGCCTTACAATAAAGTGAATTAGTTCATCTTACTGTGTATCCTGTCTAATTTATCAGGGAGGACTGACACATCCTTTATCTTCTGTCAGCTTCTACTTGAAACTTCACAAAAGCACTCAAATGTTTATTTACTTGGCTGTTTATTTAATCATGCAGTTGATCATTTGTTGCCTCCTTCGTTGTTCTAGTTATAGATGTTGATGGTTTTTACATTGTCATAAATAAGTGATGAAAAAATGACCAGTCAAACTGGAACAGGCAGCAGAGTTTAATTCACCGAATACTATGTGTAGCCCCAAAAAACTAAGTGCTGAATTTCCAAAATTGAAGGGCAAATGATAACTGTTATGAGCAAATATACATGAAAATAAAATCCTTGCAGCCTTGTTCATGTGCATGATGTGACTTATTCAACTTCAGTCATGGAAAATAATACTAAACTGAAAAGGCCCTTGACATATATCAGGAAAAAGTTTCTTTTCAAATCTTCTATATAAACTCCTCCCCTGCCCTGAAGACAGCATTGCTTGAACAAACAAAGAAAATAATGATTTTCATATAGTCTTTGAATCCTGGCTGTTACTCATTAATACATCCAAATGTATACTGAGACAAAAAGGAGCCATAACTCATCTACTGTTTCGGTTCACTAATCTCATTTTTCTCAATATCCTGCCCTATCCACAGGGATATCAACTCTGAAAATATTCCTAATATGATTTACAAAAAAAAAAAAGGGGGGGGGTAAAATTTGTTTAACTTTGGTCAGCAAATGTCACTTTAAATCAAAGCTTACATGCTATTCTCAGGCAAAGTGATTCAATAACTTTTCACTAGTGAAAAGTTATGGAGCAGTAAACTAGTTATGAAACAAGAATCAAGCTTACTTTTATGAATTCCCCTGATTCACAAGTACCATGTATACACAATACTATTAGGCGTATTGTCTCATTTGACATTACCGGACATAGTAGAATATAGGTTTTACTAGATTATTAGAAGCTTAAATAGTCCTTTTAAGAATATAAGAAAATATTACAGGTATTGGAGCAATGTTATATTTTACTGTGGAAGATTTGCCAAAATACAAGCCAGAGACTTTTAGGCAACTCAGTTAAATGTAAGAATTTGACCTTATGAGCAATGGGGAGTTTAATCTGTTATTAAACAGGATGTTGCAATCCACTTATGCTATACATGTGTAAAAGAAAAAGGCCTGTAACTATTTGAGAAATATAAGAAATTGTTATTTTCAAGAAATTGCATCTATTTTGACACTGCCAAGAACTGCAATATTAATCCTCATAAGAAGTAGATATAGGATGCATACAAGTGAATATTTATTATAACTTTTGGCCAATCAACTAAATGCAATATCTGAAGTGTGATACTTATATAAAATTAGCAGAATACAGTCTTTTTGATTATATAAAAATGTTGGGCTATAATTTTAATAGCAATATACAAATACTTAGTAACCTGTAATTCACCAAGTTATACACAGTAAACCCTTTTCTGATGTCTTTATGATATCAAACACCAGAATCTACTATCTCAGGATCAAGGAATCTGGTCTCTCTTCAGATTTGACATTTATTTTCCCTTGAATAATAAAGGGTCATATTTATCTTCACTTACTTTTGCCAAACTTATAATTTCCTTCACCAAGGCCTATTTAAATGTGTTTCTCTCATTCATTTTGGAGAACAGATTTTCAAAGTAGCAATCTTTTAGTGCTAGAATGGCAAGGCAACAGCTGCCCATGCCTGCTATTAAATTTCTTCTAACTTTCCTGAAAAGGTTCTGATGTTTCCTTGAATACACCAGAAGAGATTTCTATTTTTTTTAGATGGGTGTTCAAAAAGATGGGTGTTCAGATACTAACATTACAGCAAAATCTATCTTATTTGAACTTTTTATAAGAAAAATAATTTTTTAAAAGAAAAATAATTAATATTCTATAGCACTATCATAAAATTTAGCCTTTACAACCCGTTTTCTGTGTTGAAGTTCTGTATTGCCAAATAATCTTGCTTGTTGGTGTTTGTAAAAGCTATTTCTCTTCACATGGACAATAAAAAGGAACTTGGCAACCATTTTAGTTCTTTGGAGGCCTATATTTGTTGTTACACAAGTTATGTGCCACAATTTCCAAACCACCAGCAAACATGGGGACATTCTACAATAAAAAAATATTTTTTTTCTTTTTAATTGGGATGGTCAATATGTTTCTTTTTGATTGGGATTGTCAATATGTGACTCCTTGCAGTCTCCTATTGAGATTGTGTCAGTAAAATTCAGGGCAAATTGGCTGAATTTGGAACCATGTTTTTGAATTTGGGGAGTTTAATGCATTCTATTCTATCCTGAAAAGCTACAAAATGAGCCAAAAATGTGTAAGCCATGTATCCCAAAAGGGTCTGGAATTCTGTACCACCCATCTTGAAAGTTATCATAATAACACTTATGTTCCACAGAGTCATTAAATCTGCGCTACTTTGTGCTCAAAAGCTCTAATCTCAGAGAGATTCGCTTATCTAATCAGGAATATCAGGGTCTATCACTCTAGAAAGCTACCACTGCCATTTGTCATCATAACTCTGTTACTATATTCATTTCTTTTAATAGCAATCCATTATAAACAGATATTTTGCAATATTTATATTTTATTGTCATATGGATAAAACATCCATAAATAAAGATTTACAGATACAGAAAGCGACAGACTAAAAAGATGCACTAAGGAATTGTTAGACAAGGGAAGTTTTAATGTTTTAGTCCATTTACCAAATTAAATATGATAAGACTGATGTCATTAATACATAGTGGGAACGGGATTATTTCTAATGTTCCAAAAGTTACACTGCATTAAGACCTTACTCCCAAAGTATCATTGAAATTGGGCTAAAGAATAGTAACTGAATGCTACAGTAATTTTTAAAGTATAAAAGGTATAATCACCTGGCAGAACCAAAGTTACTTCTACGTAAGAATGCAGGAGTACCTTAAATATTAAGACAGATTAGCTCAAGAGCTACATTTGCAATGTCACAAGAAATATCTCATAATATTATTAAGCAATCTTTTGAAAGACTGTAAAGGCTCTCTGTGTATATTACATTTATATGAATATACAACAATGAATCTGTTCTATTGTAAGAAAAGAGTTTATCATTTCCATTAAATGTTGACTAAATAGCCCCAATGGGAACAATAAAACTTGTGGGGTGGGTGGGAGGAGGAGTAGGAGTAGGAGGAAAGAACAACAACAACAACGGGAAAAAAAAGAAGAACAAGAAATCTGTTGCTCATATTTATGAGCAGAAGCTGCCTTTGGCCAGAACTCTCCTCTGCAATGTCAAATAATCTATCCATCTAATCTTAAAGGTCAGGATGCATTCTTGCTTCCCTTGTCTGTATCACCCTCAAATAATTCACACAGTTATAAAGATAGGAAGTTAACTGATCCTTTTCCTGGCTTTTCCTGAATTATATGTAAGGACCCTAAATGTGTAACAATAGAGAAAATAATACATTCAGTACACATTTCTGTTTTGTATTATTCTTGAAGATCAAAGAAGATTGTAAAATATACTGTCTGTTATTTTATATACTACACTGCATAGACAAATAGTTATGGGTATTTTTCAAACCTGTGGATTACATACAGTGGTTTTACCAATGAAGGAAATTAAGTTTTAAACCAGGAATAAACATGATGTAATATTTATCACATAATATACTCCCCTTCACATAATTTATGAGAAATTATGATGACATAGAATCTCAGATAAAAACAGCTACATCTGAGTATATTTTGCTATCCTTCATATTACAACCTGAGAGTTTTAAGAACAATTCTTATACTTACAAAGCACGGTATTTAGTCATCTTATTTGCTTTGAAAAGATTTTTCAAGATAAACCTGAATACAACTGTGCTGCAATGCATTACTACAAGATGTAATCAATATAAAGCAAATGCTAATTTGCCTGAAGCTTTGAAATATATATCATAATCAAAATAATCACAACTATAGCAAAACATTTATGGACAGATGTAATTGTGAGTTAAGTTTACACTAAAATAAACCTATCCACTTATACCTTAGTGTGATAAAATTGCATCTCCTGGGAGAAATCAAACCATATTTTGTCCCATCACAAGTGATTTTGCAGGTTAAAACTTTTGAGCCATTCATAAACTTACAGATGGATGGCATCATAAATATTAAAACATATGTTTTGTTAAAAAAAATATTAATACAATCCCTATGTACAATTTTTGTATTTTAAATTATTAGCAAATGTAATTAAAAAAAGATCTTATGTGTATGTGTGTGCGTTCATGCGTATACTTTAATGTATATACTGATTTTCCCATTTACTGTAAAAGGTACATGGAATACACAGACCAAATTCAAAAAATTATAATTTGTTGGATAATTATCTTGAACAAATGAAATTCAGAGAAATTTTGGTTTAAAAAAGTCTAAACATCATAGTATAATCATGTAAATACTCAATACTTACAGTTATACTGTCAAGGAGCCTGGCCATGTGTTTAATTATTTCACCATGGTGTGCTGGTTGTGTTTGCAGCAGCTTCTTAATTACTACTATGCTTTCTGCTACTACTATTTCTGATAAAATAAAAGAATAAAATATTTATCACAACCAAATAATTAGAAAATTGGTATTTATTTCCAAAATATGTTGAGACAAAATAGAATATCTTCCAATATTCAGCTTAGTAGTTTGTGGCTATCCAGCACTTCTGCAGAACAATAGGACGGTCAGTCTTATCATTATGAATAAAGTTGTTTGCTTTTAGCCAAGACTGGATATTAGTTCCACAAAATCAGGCAAGATGAGTGGGGCAATATCAGCTTGGATAATTTTGAGTTTATGATCCTGAGGAATCGGATATGTTTGATTTGAATGTGGATTTAAACAGGCTACAAGGACATAGAAAAAGATATTGCACTAGACACACAAAAGAAACCAGCTGATGTCTGAATAATTAAAAGGGATATACAAATAACATGACCTAGATAGCTTTCCTATATTGGGTATACAAAAGACTTGTTAAAGCTTTGAAGGATTTTGGAGAAAACTATGTTCAGACGAAATCTAAACAAGATGGAGTTGCTGCTCATCCATAGGGACCTTGGCCTCCCAGTTGTTGCTGTTGATGATGTCATAGCCCATCGATGGAGAAGTCTGGGACTTGTGGGTTCTCTTCAAGTTAAAGCTCCTACTTCAACAGCAGGTGAAAGCTCTTGTCAGGGAGGTATTTGCCCAACTTCACTGATATGCTAGTTCTTAGACAATCTAGTCCAGGAAACAGAAACGCCTGCTCTTGTCACATGGTTGAATTAAGGTAACTCCTACAAATGCATCTGGTATAATTGCAGAAGCTAGGCTGCTGGTAGATGGCCCTAACTAATACAGAATAACACTGATTTGTTAATTATTTAGTTGGTTGTCAGTTGGCTTTGACCCAATGCAGCTGCCCACATGGTTTTGTGCAGACCTCTGTGTGCACATGTATCACCTCTCCTGTGGGAGCTGCATTGATTTGCTTCTGGGTGCAATTCAAGGTGATGGTTGTCACCTTTAAAGCCCTTCATGGTTTGGGACCAGATTATCTGAGGGACCGTCTCTTGCCGGTCACATCTACCCAACCCACTAGAGCAGGGAGCGGGTCCCATCCCCTAGGGAGATACACCTGGTGGGATCCAGAAGAAAGGCCTTCTCCATGGTGGCTCCCTCTTTCTGGAACTTCATTCCCCCTGAGATTAGACTGGCTCCAACTCTAACACTCTTTAGCAAGGCGCTGAAGACCTGGTTCTGCCAGGAACCCAGAGTGGGATAGAGCCCATTAAATGGCTTGTGTGATATGTTGTCGCTGGGGTGGTGGTGAGGGGCTATTATTTTATTGATTTATTATTTTATTATATTCTTCTATTAGTTTTATGTTTTTACATTTGTGTAAGCCACTTTGAGTTGCCGTGTGCAAATAGGCGGCAATATAAATTTTCTAAAATAAATAAATGAATAAATAAATTCAAATTGCCAGATATTACCAATGAAGTCCTTCAAGACAAGGTATAACATTAGGGAACACATTAGCCAAAGTGACTCCGCTCTTCCTGTCAGGTCATTAATGCACCTATTTTATGAAATGAAGTGGCTTGGATTGGACTAAGTTATATGGGTTTTTTTTGTATATTTGCACTTTATTTTTACACTGTAAGCCCAAAATCAATTGGAGACAGGTGTGCCAAAATCAAATAAATAATCAATAAAATTGTGAGACTGGTTCAGAGTAAAAATCATGTAAGTAGGCTGGCATGTAAGTAAACAAATGAATTAAATAGTGAGAAGAGATGGAAAAAATACTTAAGCATACCCACAACTTTCATTTTTCTTCTATAACTACTTCACCAAATGGAAAAGATTTATCCTGGATTCTAAGTACATTTGTGCAATGGAATTTTAGGAAAAGAGCAGCAGATGGACATAATTATTTCTGTCTATTAATTCTACCCTACAAATAAAAGTGTTCATTCATTCAGAAGACAAAATAGAATAATTAACTTACCATCCCTATTGGAGAGCAAACATACCAAGCCATTTAGGCACGTGTCAGTCACTTCTGAGATGTTGGTTGCACATCTGCCTATTGCCTGGATTGTAGCTGCAGCAAATTGCTTATCTTGGCTTTTCACATATGTCTGAAGAAAACAAGAAATTCATTATCTCATCAGTTTAAGAAAGCCATACCTCCTAAACTAGCTTCAGTGCTTAGTAACAGTTGTGGGGATAGAGGATGTGCTAGCTGTAGTTATCCAAAATATATCACAAGGAATCAGTCTATTTTCATGTACAATAGTAATGCAGAATAACTCAATAACAAGTATTAGTCTGAGCACAAAAATAGCTTGGTTCATATGTTGTTTCAGAAACATTTCAATCTATTAAATTAGCATAGTCTAAGGAAAGCCAGAAAAAGAAAAAATACTTTGAAGGAATATAAATTATGGATACATTTGCATATATGGCCATTAACAACCACCATTGTTATTCCAAATGCTTTAATCCTAAAGTATCACAATCTTCCTTACCTACAACATTAGGAGTATTAAACAAGTGTGCAAGGACAGAAGGACATGAAATTAGTTTAAATCAGAACATCAGATATGTTAAATAAAAATATAAATAATACACAAACCTGAAATTCTCTGAGAAGAGTTGATATATTGGCTTCATTTGCTAGGTTAGTTAAAATTTCAAGCTAGAAAACAAGGTAAAATGTTAAGGTAATAGAGATAAACACAATTATTTTCTATTTCTTATAAACCATTGAAAACTGTAAATATAAGATAATCTTGTCAAATTAAAAATGGAAAGATATAAGCTCCAATTTTGTTAATAGAATATTTTTCCAGAATTGGAGAAATTATATTAAAAACAATATAATTTCTATCTGTGCATCATAAAATACTTTGCACTGAAGGAACCCCTAGCTGAACTCATGCTAGGCAAGCTGAAGCTTTTACTTTGGTTATGGAAGGTTCCTAATTAAGAATAGAATAAAATAAAATTCTTTATTGGCCAAGTGTGATTGGACACACAAGGAATTTGTCTCCAATACATAAGCTCACAGTGTATATATAAATAGCAAGTAATATGTCATAATCATAAATCATAGTTCCAATAAATTTTATTTACAAAAATGTATAAAAAATATTTTTGGTCTTTCAGAAGCATTATTAACATTTATTGAAAGTAAAAGGTGGCTGAGACCCAGTTCTTTGACCATGTGTCTACCTACCAAAACAAACGCAAAAGTTAAAGTGGGTTAATATTTAATCCAGGACAACTAGGAAAAAAATAAGACTCCAATAGTAGCATCCAAGCAACAAAATTACTGTGGCTCTTTCTTTCTAGATTTTCAGAAGAATTTAGAAACCTTTCATTTGTGAAGATCTTACAAATTGGTCTTGCATTTTCTCTGCATTACTGGTCAAGAACATTTGTTCCTTGCTCAGCAGAGTTCCAATTCATCACTAATGCTATAATTAGACTTCCTAAATCATCCCCCTGGAAAAAAGTGAAACCTCAATTTAATAATCTGCTATTTGGTGTACAACATACCAAAACTTTGTTTGGACTTAACTTCCTACCCCATCCCTGCGATAATGTGCGTGCTTGTTGTTTCTGAAGTCTGCATAGACTGTAGCCATTTTTGCATGTGCATTAACATTTTCCTTTTATACATTTACAAGTCTCCTTTGTCCCAACCCAGAAAAAGGGAGGTGCTTGAGCTCTCCAGTGCTGTATTCTTCTTGAATGCAGAGCAGAGAAAGAAGAGGTCTTGAATGAAGTGGTTCCTTTGCATAACTTCAGTGTATATACCATCTCCTCCATGCTGTTTTCTTAATATGCTTTTTCCTTAATCACCTCTTCCTGGCAGGATGTCAGGTTCTGCTTTCAGTGTCCTATTCTCCCTCTTACCCTGTTCTGCAGAATCCACTTGGAGTGAGTCACTTGGGTGGCTTCTCAGTGTGTTCTTCTTGGAGATTGATGAAAGACTAAATAGAAGAGTCTTGAACTGATTTATTTTGGTAGTAAAAATATCGCATAAATATTCAATGAAATGTTGAATGGAAATTTAGACATGTCTGTAACAGATCTATGAAAAGCAACATGTCTGTAAGATGAATTGCTTCTGCTGTAAATCTCAGTAACTAGATTCACATATAAGAAACATATTTATGTTTAAAGAATACCTATAGGGTTAGCATATACTTATTAGCAAAATACTTATAACAAGCATACCTTTAATGTCTTGATCATAGTTGGATCAGTCGATCTAACATAGAAACTCTTCAAGTAAGGCTCAAACAGCCCCTGGATGGGAAAAAAAACAGAACAAAAAATAAATGTCAACAAATATGAAGATCAAAATGAAGTATTTTGAACATATAAAGCCAATATGTCAAACCTTGCGCTGGATCGACATTGTTGCTATATTCTGGAGAACAATATACTGTACTTCCCTAAAAATGAATGGAATATGATTAATGTCTTAATTATTTCTCCATGAGAACTATGCAATGAAAAAAAATCAACTGAATATAAAATGATAAGACAATGCTTTTATATAGAAAGATTAGTAAGGTACTTACATATATATTTTATACAACTGAATTTAACAAATATTATTTACATAGAAACTCATATTATGAGTATCATCATAAGTGTATGCAGAGATGCAGGGGTTAGTTATATCCACAATTAACACAAATTTTATTAGAAGATGAAAGCCATACTGAAATGTCTAAAGTCTCATTGATAGAACAGTAATTTTATTCAATATTACTGAAAATATTTCAATAGATTCCTGAGCTTCTATGTGAAATCCCTGATTAAACCTAGATTCTCAAATTAAATTTAAAGATTACCTTGTTTGATTTCATTTTAATATGCATCAGTAAGGAGAGCACAATATTGTTCAGTGACTTTTTTGGTTTGGTAGAACAGAGTTCTCCAAACTTTTCGGCTTTGTGGACCGACAGGGCGGGGGGGAGGGGGAGAAAGGGATGGTTCAGCATAAGCACTGGGCAAATGCACATGTGCAACTCCATTTGTGGGAGTACTGGGCACATGCGCCCGCTATGTCTGTGGCATGGTTCCAAAAGGCTCAAGGCCAGGTAGGGGTTACAGTCCGGGGATTAGGGACCCCGTGCTAGAATGTATGAACCAACCCCACAAAAGAAACTAATACAACTCTAATGAATACCTTTCTAGATCATGCTAAGCCAAAAAATTTTAAAAAAATATTATAGCACAGTTTTGTTTCATCTGAATCGGATATGTAGTTGTAACAATTTCTGGGACTCAAGCAAATTTATACTTATTGTGCTGCTATTATATTATTATTATCTATATTAATTCCTCTAAAAGTTTGGTAAAATCATTCATTCAGAATATATTGGTACTAAAACATTGTATATGTTTACTTTATCTCCTTATAATTGATAAGCTACTACATATCTGATCTAACATTTGAAAATTATAAATACTCCACAGCTGGGATGATCAATAAATTTGATTTACCTGTTACTCCGTAGTAAACGCACTAGGGACTTAGCAACTATACCAGCTTCAGAGTTGGGTGCCACATGCCAATAAAGTTGTGCAACTGCCATCACCACCTTTAAAAAAATAGCCATTATTTACTAGTGATTAGATTCATCTATAGAATATGTTAATTCCCTTGGTATCTTGAAAGAACATTTGTTATTTTTCTTTTTAAACTATGTTTTATGTGTTAGATTAATTAATCCTTAGCATCTAATTCACCAACTACAACTGTGGCTGGCTTACGTAAGATTGAAACAAAAATACAGAAAATTAGAGAGAACTAAAGAAACAGAAAATAACACAATTAAGGCTGATCACAGTCATAACCTTAATTGTTATCAGATTTGGCTCATCCAATACTGAGACCCAATGCCTGGGGGAAGAGATTTCAGGACCAGCAGGATTGGGGCTGAGTGTTGGGGGATATGCTATTCCATAGGACAGGCATTACAACACAGATGCCTCCTGGATACCATCAAATGGCATTGTTTCACAGAGACCCTGAAGCATGCTGTTAGACCATGTTGGATGGGGAAAAACATCCAGAAGGAAGTCTCTGAAATAACCGGTCTCAGGTACTATGAAGGACTTTACAGGTGATAACCAGCACTTAAATTATTCAGATTATATTTACTGGTAAGAAAAATTATCTCCAAATGCTTTATTTACACAATTCCAGTATTTTGCAGGAAAAATAATCTTTCCCCAGGGGCTACTTGCTTCATTAAAGCAAAGTTTGCAATACAACAATTAATGAAAGCTCATGGGAAAATGAGTATCTCTCATTCCCCATATTCATCAAACAGATTTACAAGTAGTCCTCAATGTTTTGAAGGTCTGACAGTCTAGAATTGGCCTATAAAGCACTTTCGGTCATCGCCAACATTGCACAATCTCCCTCATGTTCATTGATCTCAGTGCCTGGCAACCTGTTTGTATTTACAACCGGTTGTGAAGTGCCCTATGAACATGTGATCATTATTTGCAATTTGCTATGTTGGCTTCTCCAAAAGTCAATGGGGAAGGCAGTAGGAAAGGATTGCCTGTTGTCTCAGGGGTCTGGCTGAAAGAGTCGCCTCCCTAGGAAAGCTGAAGGATTTCGGGTCTGTTTCTGCACCATGCTAAAGAAGTATGGAGGGGAGCTTAATTACTTCATCAGGTAGCTCTTCAGACAGCTCCCTGAGAGAGATGAAGATGAAATCCAAGCAGAGGGCAATGAGTCAGCATGGTAAGGAGCATGGGGTGCCTCAGGTGGGTGGATAAGTACACAGGAGACCTGGCGCAGTCTATGTACAAGTGTCTCTCCACTCAGTACTTGGATTTTGGAAAGAAAGATTTTCAGCTCCTGAGTGGAGCTTCCCAGGATCTCCCCTATTCCCTGAGACACCCAGTATATTTCTTACTTGGGACTCTATCCACTTAACGATCTACCTAATCACTTAACAAGAACCGGAAGTGGCTGGATTGTGGTTGTTGAGTGAAGCAATCAGATGGACAGTCACATGATGTCTTGTTTAACAACCATTTCATTTAACAACCAAGAGCCAGCTGTAGTCATAAATTGAGGGCCACGGGTACAGAAATAAAATAAGATCTTTGAGATATGCTCTCTTTGGTTACTAGATACTGAAATTTAAAATAGGAATCTTTGTGTTCCAGTAAACAAATTAGCTGACATTATAGGGATGAGATAAATCCAGAGATTATGTGCTTTAAATATTACATTTCTTTTCAAAAAAGGCTTTAAGCAATAAACTATTGTTTCATGCTAACAAAAATATACAGTTCATGCAGCTGTAATGTTTTATAGCTCCTAATATACTTGAAAGATGTCAATTCCTCAAAAGAAAGTATATGGCTGGACTAGATGAACACTCAATGTCTAACCCAAGAAACATGAAAAGAAATGTACCACGTTTATCATTTTAAAAAATCTTAATCCAAATGGATTTTGAAGGAAAAAAACTCTTATTCAAGGAAAAGTTAAAGCAGACACAGCATTTGTAGCATATGATGTTCCACATCCACAATATTTTCATGAAAACACATCAGGACTGAGAATTTATAATAAAATGTATTTATACCATCATCTTTTTCATCTTCTTAGTTTGGTGTTTATCTTTTTATTTGTCCACCACAAGAAACATTCTGTCTATTCAGTGTTGTATATTCACAAAATTATATACAATACCCTTCCCACCAATTAGGTCTAATATTCATGATCCCAATGATGGATTTGCTTTAAAAACTTAGTAAAACAGTGAAGTAGAAAAACAGATGAATCCTAAAAAGAAGCCCATTTATAATAAAGTGACAGCTCCTCCATTCAATGTCATAAATGGATTGATTTTTAAATACCATAGGTTCACAACATTATTCTATTCCCTTAGAGAGATCTCAAAATTGAACAGCAATTCTAATTTGTTTAATTTGTAAATTTGTTTCTGCCTATCCTGAGAAAACTAATTAAAAGCCAAAATCATTATGGCCATATACAAAAACTTAATACACCTTGCCCATTAGTGACAACTAAAAAAAATCAACAGGTTTACTTTAAGAAAATCCGCCCCAAAAAGAAAAATAAATAAATCCTTCAAACGTTTTTTTCCATTATTAGGGCAATTGCATAGAGGAGATTCTAAATTGGGTTTTGTAAAAAAACTAACACATTGTATAGATCCTTTTTATTAATTGTTAAGCCTGCATATCAGAGCTGTGGAAGTGAATTTATATAATCCAAGTTGCTCTCCCAGAGTTTTCCAAACAGTCCACAAAAAGCCAAAGAGCTGAACAGCTGAAAACAGAATGTGGCTTAGGAAGCATTATCTCAAAGAATCAACTAGGCCCATATTTGCAGGGAAAGGAGTGTTTTTAGCTGATCTACAGAAATTCCACCTCACTACAGAATGGCTCATGCTAGTCACTTACTCAACAAGGACTCTTAATAAGACATTGTTAGACGTTCAAGACAACCACTGAGAAAAAGGTAAAGCGAAGACAACTTCTACCAACACTAATACACATGCTTAACTTTAAATCCAACCATTTGGCTAAATGAAAAAAAAGTGAATTAAAATAGCCATACAGCAGCATTCCGGCTTTGTAATAAAGGCTTTGTATTTCTTATCAGTAATCTGTGGTCTGGATCCATAGAATAGGGCTTGTTCACTGTTGGATCTTTATCCTGCTGCTCATCAGATTCATAGAAATTCTTTTCACTGTATTCTTCCAGAGCACCATCCTATAAAGGGAAATAACGCTCATTATTTTACTTTTAATTTTTAAATAACATCCAAATTATAAATATGGTATACCTTCTAAATTTTTCCAACACAGTGATTTCAAATCATAGTTTAAATATATCAAGGGTTTTTTTTCCAATTTAAAAGAAAAGGGATATATTTGTTCTTTGGATCTTTGACATTTAATTGGAAAAATGTCTATGTCTGGTATGTCTATAAATGAATATTATGACCCCCCCCAAAAAAATCAAAGCACAAAATTCTAATTAGTAGGATATATAGTGTGAAAATACAATTTAAATAATATAGTAAATATGATATTTTTAATCATAAGCCATCTATGCCAATTTGTTCTTATAACATAATTAAAACATGTTCCAAGATGGAAATTTCTTGAATCCAGCTTGCATTCCATGAAGAAAAGAATTGTTCTCTGGTTATTTGTAGGTATATGGCATTACAAAAAATAAACCTACTTATTTACCTACCAATCTCTAAGTAGATTGTGTATGATGGATAGTTAGTTAGATAGATAAATAGGTAGGTAGGTAGGTAGGTAGGTAGGTAGTTAGGTAGGTTGGTTGACAGAGTTGGAAGGTACCTTGTGGGTGATCTAGTCCAATCCCCTGCCCAAGCAGACCCTACACTATTTCTGACAGATGGCAGTCCAGTCTCTTCTTGAAAGCTTCCAGTGATGAAGCTCCCACAACTTCTGAAGGCAACCTGTTCCATTGGTTGATTGCTCTCACTGTCAGAAAATTTATCCTTATTTCCAGGTTAAATCTCTCATTATTCAGTTTCCATCCATTATTCCTTGTCTGGCCTTCAGGTACTTTGGAAAATAGCTTGACCCTCTCCTCTCTGTGACAGCCCCTCAAATATTGGAATACTGCTATCATGTCTAATAGTTAATTAAGTCTTTCACCATTTCCAACTATAATTTATGATGATCACAACGATAAATAATTATTTCATATGTGGATATATCATACTTTGATTTTCAATCCTTTCCTAATGATCATGATAATGGAATTTGCTTTATAACTATCACATGCTGACTCAATATCCTCACTGAGCTTTCTTATATGATCCCAAGATCCTTTTTCTGATTAGTGGATTATGAATCCGAAGTCTCCTCAATTGCAATCACACCTCTGAGGGCCACTGAAGATGTTATGAATTAAGGCTGCTTATGTTGCTTTAGTTATTTTCACAATTTTTCATTTACTCATTTGAAGCTGCCAGACAAGATCAGAAGATCTTAACAGAAGTGTAAAGTTACTGCAGTTCCAAATGGAATACGTTCCAGTTTGGGGGAAATGAAATGAAATAAGAAAACCTAGAGTAGTTTTTAACTCATGCAACTGAGGACAGATATTTCAAAACATTTTCTTGATCTAACTAAGTCAATATACTAACTGTGAGATTACTGTAGCCAGAGGGAATATTAGGGAAGCTAACAGATAAGCTTTAAGAAAACATCACCTCTTATTTTTCTTTCCACAGTAACCACCTTCTTTCACGAATCTTGGAAATAGGTCTGCAAGGTGATGTGGTAGTTTGTAAGGAAGTTTCATGCTGAGCCAATCTGTGTAGAATTCTTATAAAGAAGCTAGAGATAGTCATTTGCCTATTGAGCAGGAAGATAGAGAGGGGAAAAATATATCTGTCTGTCTGCCTGTCAGTCAGTTAAATAATCATAGGATGGAAGGGACTCCGAACAGGAATCCTCACAGACTATCCCAGATAAATGGTTGATAGCCTTTGTTTGAAAACTTCCAGTATTGGAGCATCCTATACAGAGTAAGGAAGATGATCTTCATGGAAACATGCAAAAATCATTATCTAGGCAAAGGACAAACATGTTTAAGCCCTGAGAAAAAAGGTAATATTCCAAAGGGCTCATGCAGAAGACTAATTCACTGGAATATGGGGAAAGGGGAAGACAGGTACAGCACAGATACTATATATTATAGTCAATCTCAATAAGAGTAGTTCTAGCCTTCCCATGGAACTGATTTCCTAGTCAATTTTGCCTAGTAGAATTGACACATCCACAACTCTAGGAGGTAATTTCACTGCTTGATAGTTCTCACAAACATGAAATTCCTACTTATATCAAGTTTGGATCACTTCTATGAAATTTCCATCTATAGAGCCTTGTCCTGTCCTTGAAGACTACAGAGAAATTAATCCACACCTTTTTTTCTGTGATAGCCCTCCAAGTACTGGAAGACTGCTTAACTTAACCTGTCTTTCCTTTTCTTTAGACTAGGCATACCCTTGTTCTTTTTATCATACGTCATAAGATTTAGTTTCTCAGCTGTTTGCTAACATTGTTGGTGGTACCAACAAGTCTGAGAGGGGTACTTATTTGTTTAAGATTTTTTTAAAAATTACTGAGGTCTCTATTTTTCCCCAATGTACACTCAATGAATTGGAAATGAGCTGGAACAAAGCATTTATTCCAAGCCAATGCAGATCAAGCTACTTCAGAGATCAGGATCTAGCCTCAAAACAGAGTAGGCAATAAATCTATAGCTTTAATTCCACTTCAGTAAACAATCTTCTAAGTAATCTTTAAAGTATAATATTTATTCTTGAATGTTCAGTAAAAAGCTGTTTCAACAAATTTACTTACATTAAGCAATTTTCATTTTAGAGGACAAAAAAGACACCCACTTATTATTTTTAAGAATATTTCTATACCATCACAGATTCTAATATCAGAATAATATTCATTTTCTTGTCACAGTAAAAATTAAAGGACATTTAACAAAATTAAGAAACGCTTTGGATTTTCCCCCTTATTTGTTAGATCTCTTTAGCAGCTGAAGCAAAGTAATTCAAAATTATTAATCTACAGGGAGATACACATTTAACTTGGGAAGGAAGATGAGGAAATCTGTTGAAAAGAAAGGTAAATTCAGGAAATAAATATGCAAATATGCATTTTAACATTCTTGAATGTATTAATCTGAAAGGTTTAATTTCCATTTTCCTGCATCAGCTTTTTTTATAAAATGTCATGCCCTATAAATATGCTGTTATTTTCTATAGTCAAGTACCCCCTTAACAAATCTTCTCATTAATATGTAAATTTAAAGTCAATCGGTCTTCTCCCTGACAGCACCATGAATTCCTAGTGCACTGTATAATCGATTTTGACTTGGCAACCACTATTTATCAAAGATGTCAGTTAGAAAAATTATGGAAAATGCAGTACAATTGATATGACTGCAATATACTTTGTCAACATTTAATTGTTCCTCAAATCATACATTTACATATAAACAGACTAAATACTGATCTATAATGATGCAGATAAACTAAATTAAAAATCTGTTTTACTACATAAGAAGCTTGTTATATGCTTATTCAAAAAAGTACTAGAAGAAAACATGGGGACCTGCTGATTGTTAGATTTCAGATATTTCCTTCTGCTATTTCAGCAACTAAATGAGAAATCTGCTTATTTATTTGATTTAGGCAGCAGTATCCAGATAGATGGATGGATGGCTTCCTTTCCCCCTCCAATGCCATTCCAAAAAGCCTTAAAACTTGGTTGAGACCCCTATCAGATATGTGTGTATATGTCGATGATGTTGGCCAGTCTTAACTTTTTGTTCTTTATTTTTCTTTATAACCGTATTTATCTTGTACTTTCTACAAATTTGGTTTTATTGTGGGTCATCCAGAGTCAATCTAGAGTTAGGCAGTGAATGCTGCTATTTCTTATATATATATTTATAAGAATAGGAATTTATCATTTATTTACTAATGACTTTTTCTTGTCATTCTAAGACACAGTATATTGCATTATGTCTATACTATCTAGCCTCAAGTAAACAATAGTTTATCTAAAAGATTGCAAATTGAATGATGCCTTGATAATATACCTATGAATGACCAGCTGCTGATATTTCATATTTAAAAACCTGAAATATCTTCCCATAAATGTGGAAGCAAAAATTTAAATGAGCTGAACTCATAAATTATCTGAGCTCATAAAAATGTATGGAAATTAAAGATGTTTAGTTTCCAATAGTCACTAAAATCTAACACTGGCTCATATCAACAGGATTAGAATTAGAAGAGAACTAGAAATACTAACTCATGAAGACAAATATGAGAAGCACTATTGAAATTACTAGGATGATCTTATTAATTGGCACTAGAAAATTACAACTTTTTAAAAGTTAGAAAATTTAAAAGAAAAGATTACAACTGTGTATATAAAAAAGCTATATACCTGAGCAGAAATTCAGGAATTAGAACATGGAAATTTGAAAGTACCTGTGTAAGAATAAAAGAAAAGAGAAAACAAAAGTGATACTATCACAGTTTTTAATAAACCGCCTTGCCAAGCAAGAGACATGGTTGAAGATTTTCGGCATCAGATGACCAGACTTTCAAAGAGGTATGCAATAGGGTAATGGGAGATCTCAATTATCCTGACATCTACTGGGAATCTAACTCAGCCAAGAGTCAGAGGTCCAACAAATTCTTGTCCTCTCTTACTGACAACTTCATTTATTAGCAGATGGGAAAAAAATCAAGGAGAATAGGTTAAAAAACTGAAAGGGACTGGTACCTTGGGGAAAGTGATTGTGTTATCTTTGAATTTGTGATATACAAAGGAGGAAGAACTGAGAAAAATCAAATCTGTATACTGGTCTGAAACAATTAGAATGTGATTGTAATCCTTCACTAGATGGAAAAATTCATGAAGACTGGAGAATAACAAATATTACCTCCACCTACAAAAAGGAGAAGAAACTATAGATTTATCAGTTTGACATATATAATAGGCAAGGTCCTCGGATTATTAAACTGTATTCTTTAAGCATTTGGATATGCAGGTGACAATTAATAAGAGTTACATGGCTCGTTGCAGATATACGGTTAATAGTTTGGTAGAGCAGGGGAATGATTTAATTATCTAGTGCTGGACATCAACAAAATTTTAGACAAACTCTCTCATAATAATCTGCTTTATGAAAAGATATAAAAATGAACTATGGGCCAGACAATATCACTGTTAAACAAACTCGGAACTAGCTGAATAACCACATCAAAGAGTGCTTGTTAATGGCTCCATTTCAATTTCCTAAATGGAAGTTTTAAGTGGAGTGCCAGAAAGCTCTGTTCAGGGCCTTGTGCTGCTCAGCATTTTAATCAATGACTTGCATGAGTAAGTTGAGGGGTCACTTATCAAGTCAAAATATGACACAAAGCTAGGAGGGGTGGCTAATAAGTTAGAGCAGAGAGAGAAGATTTTAAAAGCCAGAGACAGGCCTGAGCAGTAATGAATAGAATGGAATTTTAATAGGGAGACATGTCAAGTTCTGCATCTGGGGAAAAAATGAAAGGGAGAAGTGTAGAATGGGTGTGAACCCAGCAAGAGTACATATAACGAAAGATGGGTGATTGTCAGCCCTCCTGTGTAAACCATGATGAAGTAATTCTACTTTATTAGAATAGAAGTAGGCTTCATTAACAAAATATTGCAACTCTGAAGGTACAAACTTCCCACTGTCATTTTTAACTGCCTGAACTGTTAGGGTGTGTTAGGGTAAGTTTCTTCCTCTAACTATTTGGAGGCTCTCTTTTGGCTGCTTCCTAGGCAGCATCTCTTCCTCTCATCCTCCAAGGACATTAACACATTCCATTACAGTGGCCTTGTCAATCACAGATTCAATATGAGCCAACAATGATACAATTGCTATAGAGGCAAATATAATCATGGTGAACTCTAATAAGTGCATAGATCAGCCTTTCTCACTCTCTCGGAGGCCCTCCAAAGGCCTGAAACGGCCCATTTCCCAACTCCCGGTGGGAAAGGAAGTGACATTTTTTGCTGTCCCCAGCCTCCAGAGCCTCTCTAGGAGTCTCTAGCCTCTCTAGGAGTCTCTGGAGGCTGGGGACAGCAAAAAAGTCACTTCCTGTCTCACCGGGAGTCGGGAAATGGGCCCTTTCAGCCTCCGTAGGGCCTCCAAGGGAGTGGGAAAAGCTGTTTTCGCCCTTCCCAGATAAATAGAGAGGATCTGGAGCCAGGTAAGAAAGAAAAATGGGCCTCCCCCACTCCGGCTCTCCAGAGGCAGGAAACAGCCTGTTTCCCTACTTCTGGTGGGCCCAGAAGGCCCGAAAATCAGCTGGCCGGCACGCGCATGCTCCCCAGAGCTGAGCTGGCATGCCCACTAATGTGGCTCCATGTGCCACCTGTGGTACGCGTGCCATAGGTTCGCCATCATGGGCCTAGATGATGAGATAAAAAAATAATTGTTTCACTGTGTTCGGTTCCATTCTGATCCAATTCACTTGGAATACCATGTCCAATTCTGGGGATCATTGTTCAGAAAAAGACAGTGGAAACCTTGAACAAGTTCAGAACACCTCAACAAGATATTAGGAAATGTAGCCTCCAAGCCCTGTGAGAAATACCTAAAGGATCTGGGTAAGTTTTGTTTACAAAATAGGTACATGAAAAATTATATGAAAGCAAGGTTGTCACACAAAATATGGAGTGGGAATATTCTGAGTTGCCCAGAGGGCAAGACCAGTGGGTTAAAATTAGAAGGAAATAGGTTCAGAGTAGACATTAAGAACTTCCTGACTATATGAGCCGTTAGCCAATGGAACAGGCTGCCTTCTAAAATAACGAGTTCCTCATTGCTAGAGAATTTCAGTCAATGCCTGGAATGTCAACTCCCCAAAAATGATATTATAGATCCTGCACTAATATGGGATTTGATTAAATAACATCTAAGGTATCTTTCAACTGTGTGAATCTATCATTCTACCAACATTGCACTTGTAAATAAATTCTTTCTCATCAAGGAAAGGGATCTGAATAACCAGGTAGAACACAGATCAAGCATGAACTAGCAGTGTGCTGCAGCTGCCAAAACAGCCAATGCACTATTGCAGTGGTCACCAATTGGTGGTCCATGAGAAAATTTTGGTGGTCCGCAGAAAAATTATTTGCATTTTTTATATTGCATTAAATCAGGGGTCCACAAACTATCGTTCCTGGGCCAGACATGTGCAATGAATGGTTGTGTTGCTGAAGAGTCTCTCCCTTTGGGGTCTTTTTGTGTGGGTTGGAGGGGGGCAGAAATTCCAACTTGGTGTGGAGCTTTGGGCAAAGGCTAGAAGGAAGTGCTGCTGGTGGTGAAGAACCAGAAGGCCTTGTTCCAGTGGGACCACATCATGGCCTGGAACTGGCTGATCATCTCAGCACACTGAGCTTCCAGGTGCCGGTACCTGACCCAAGCACAGGTCTTCCCTCTGCTTGGAAAGCCTATGCTCGTAGTTCTCAGTGAGGTGCTTCTGCTGAGCCTCCTTCTTGGTCAGATCCAATTTGAACTGAGCCAGCAGTTTTGCCAACTCTTTCTCGTGGTGGCTGCTTAGCTCCAACTACTGCTTCCTATTGGGGCCCTAAGGAGCCTGGGGAGGCAAGGAGTGGCTGGGAGGGGAGGGGCGAGTAGAGGCTGGTGAGGCATCCCTCCACGTGAGTGACATCGAGTTGGCCACGCCCATCCAGTCACATGACCACCTAATCACACCCACCCAGTCAGTCATTAGGCAGATCATATTAGTGGTCTGCAGGATTTAAAATTATGAATTTAGTGGTCCCTATGGTCCGAAAGGTTAGTGACCCCTGCACTATTGGGCTGCATCAAGTATAATATTGAATTCATGAGAAGTGACAGTTCCACTCTACACAGCACTGGTTAAATTTTTTCCAAACCGATGTGCAGAACTGATCAACATTGGAAACATTTACAGGTAGCTCTGATTTAGCCACCACCATTGGGACTGGCAACTTGGTCACTAAGCAAAGCAGTCATTAAGTGAAATGATTGCAACTGTATTTACAGTTTTACTTCAGCTTTCCTTTGTTTTACAAGAGAAGGATACAATCCCAAATAGTGTGGGAATCCAAATGGCAGGGAAGGTTTCTAGAACTTGACTTGTAGGGGAGCCAGATTAAAAGACAAGTCTTATAGCTTTTTTCTCTGTACACACACATACCTCACCCTTTGGAATGTTTACCTCAGCCCTAGGATAATTATTAAGGAAAAAATTAATGTTTGTATTTACATTCATTGGGGAGGGATTACAAGAGAATAAGCAGACACACAATGAAAAATACACAAAGTTCACAAATTTGAAGAGAAAAGGCAACTCAGGTCTGAATCCAATTGACTGAGTGAAAAGACTGGGCGGACGGAGACAGAGTGGGCGTCAGGAAAATGGAATGTGCTAGTGCTAGTGTTTACCTAGAGCACTTACAAGTACAAGACTTTATTGCGAAACTGATTAGGGTCTTATCAATTTCAGTCAGCCAAGTATTCTAATCAAATAATTAAGGTCACAGAGCTGAAAACTTTTACAGACACACTGCATTGGGGAGAAAAGCAGTTCCCGAAGAAAATGCTTGTTTAGGGTTTTGGGGGGGAGGAATGGATTAGGCACAGGACATAAATACTGATTGTAATGGCAAACATGACTGAGAGAGAAAGAGCCACTGAGAAGATTGTATAGCCAGGCATTGATCTCTGAGAAAGTATATACACAGGCATTGAGTGTAAGATTACTTTTTCACTGTAGTTATAATTGCAAGCTATCACTGCCTGAGGCTAAATGAGGACTACCAGTAGATGCAATTATTATTGCCCAAAGGAGGCATATCAGTTACTGAAAGCAAAAGTTCAAATACTTTTGCTACACAGAGATGTATACACACATTGTGTATGTGTGTATGTGTGTGTATACAGTGTGTGTGTGTGTGTGTATATATATGTACATATACATACACACACACAGTGTATGTGTATAAGCATTACTACTACTGTTTGATATAAATTTTTTAGTGCCCTGCTTTTAGCAACACAGCTATTCAAGAAAGTTTTTAAGTGGCTTACCTCTTTGCAAGGGCTCACAAACTGTGTTCGTGCATACCGAGTCAGCATGTGAACAATAACAACCTGTCCCCATTCTTCCACATCAATTAATAGATTACAGAGCTTTCGGTAGTTCTTGTGAATCAGATCTATTCTGTCTGGACATACTTCTTCAAATGCCATCACGACACTCCCTGCTACAAGCTAGAGAAAAATAATTTAAAACACATAAAGGGTCAGTAATTTTGACTAAGAACCTTATTCTAAATTTAAACATGATCAGCTCTAAGGCAGGGCTGTCAAACTCGTGGCCTGCGGGCCGAATGCATCATGCACTGGCCACACCCACTCCCAGTTTAGCAAAGGGAGGGAAGTTGCAACACAACACGTGACCACCCCGAGACAACGCGAGTTTGACACCCCTACTCTAAGGGATAAGTGAATTATCAAGAAGCAGGAAAGAAAATAATACCGAAGAGGTCTGCTCACATATAATTGCAGAATTACATTTTGCACCTTTGGTATTACCCATGTCTTAAAAATCTGATTTTTTCCCAGAAAGTGCAGCAAAACCAGAGGATTTAGAAACTGTCAAAACCAAAAAGGTGTTAACAGCTAGATTCTTAATCTCTACACAGATTACATTACATGATTCCACCATTTATCAGTTTCTATAGTTCTTCCAAATAACTGCTGACATGTAGAAGTCTGCCTTAATTTTTGCTAGCTTTCAAGTTCAAATAACAGTATATGTAAAGCCTGCCAAAATTTTGAGACATAAACTATAACTTTTATAAAAACTTTTTATTACTATAGTTGCTTATAATTTATGTGCTGAAGTCATGTTTTTGTTTTTCAGTGAAAAATTACTAACATTATAAAACTCTCAAACACGTTATTAAACATTTGATTTGTAAGCATGTAGAAACCTACAAGAAACTTGGCCAGTAGAGTTTTATCAAGTCTAAATCAAAGCAAATCAACCTGATTCCTTTTTTAAAAAAATAGGGTGACCCGTTTAATTGGTATAGAGAATGTGATGAACCTAATTCATTCAGTTAAGTTTCTTATGAAATTTTAGTAGGGAAGATGACAAAAAGTGCGGTAGATTATGTCACATTTAGATGGCTAGAGAGATGATTAAACAATTGTATGAAATATTAATGGTTCTATGCCAAGATGAAAAGAAGTTTCATATGGCGAGCCACAGAGTTCTATTCTAGAACTTCTAGTACATTTAAAACTGATTTGGAAAAGGGATCAGAAAATATGACCATTGCATATCACCATAACTTTTGCACTCTGCATAAAGGTAGTAGCAAACACTTAAAGGGCATCTCAATCAATCAAGAGGACTTTGACAATCTAGAACAGGCCTGTCATACTGGCGGCCCACAGGCTGGATATGTCATGCGCAGGCCATGCCCACCCCACCTCTGCAAAGGTAAAAAACATTGCGATACATCACGATACATCCCGTGACATGATTGAGTTTGACTCCCATGGTCTAGAACAATGGGCAGAAATTAGCGAAATAAAATTTAAAAAGTAAAAATCTGAAATATTTTTGCTAGAAAAGGAAGTATCAAAGGCATAAGGCCTGGACTTTTCGTCGGGCCCTGAAAACACACTTATTCCATCTAGCTGGGCTGGCTTGATCCCATCCTCTCAGTTTTTAATTGAATTCGGTTTTAATTGGGTTGTTTTAAACTTGGGCCAAAATTATTTAATTGTTTTTTAAATTATTTTTTAAATTTTATATGCTATGTTTTATCTTGGCTGTACACCGCCCTGAGTCCCGCAGGAGAAGGGCAGTATAGAAATTAAATAAATAAAATAAAATAAATAAATAAAATAAATAAAATAAATAAGAATGAAGACTGGGGCAACCATACACTTTAGTCACCAGAATGAAAACTTCTTTATTTCAGTCAATAACCAACATAAAACAATAGTGAAGCAAAAATACTAAATCAGTCACTAAAACAAAATTCCTTACTCTGCTAAGATGCAAATATTTGTTTCAATGTTAGACCCTTTCTCATCCAACTTAGAAACAAGACTGTAATTCCTTTGTTATAAGATAATTTTACCACTTGGGTAGTACTGAAAAAGAGCCTTTCCCCTGGCCAGCTCAGAAGCAAACAGAACTGACAGCAGAGGAATCAAAGTTACTATACTCCTTCTCAGTCTCGGTTGCACCTATTTGAATTTCTTGTACCTATCATTGATTAGGACAATCATTAAATGTAAAGCTGAGCCTAGAGAGCACCTTCCCAAATAATTTGCAGCATACCAGTTTGTCCTATGTAAACCACTCATTTTTTTCCTTTATTTTTTCCTTTTTTTTGGTACTAATTATTTGCAAGGAACCTTTCAATGTTCCACAACATTTAAAATTCAAAAACAGTTGCAAATACCATGTCTTGCCTCTGTTAACTGTTAGTTAGAATATAACATAATGACTTGTCACTGTGCATTACCTATTATCTTTTCCTTAACTGCTGTAATTGAATTTTGTTTTGTTTCAAACAACATGCTATGCAAAACAGATAACCTGACAAGGCTTCTATATGAAACAACTGATACATATGCAGTTAAGCATGCATGTGAAGGTTTCTAGCTGCAAATTAATGTCACATTGTAGCAGAAAACTAGGAATCCGCATTTCAACCTCTAAAATTTCCCCAATGATTTAAAATAAGCAATTAAATAGAAATACAATTTACTGAAATGGTACTTTCAGAAAAAATATTAAATACAATGATATTCATGTTATAGGTTTTCCCTATTTTTCATTGACATCTGCTTTATTAATATGCACCTATTATTACAACTGAAAGAAAACAGCTCAGAATATAGTTCTGCTATTATGCTAAACAAGTTCCAAATCCTGTGGGGATTGTATAAATTACCAATAACTATAAACGTGACGTTGCATTTATTGTCTTCAGCCTTGTTCCATACTGGAACCTGCTGGTCCCAGCATGTATAGAACTCATTCCATAAAAACCAGAATTGATTATTTGTAAAGAACTAAAGAAAATGCAGTATACTTACATTTATTTTCTATCACATCATTTGTAAAGGGAGGGGGGGATTTCATTTTTAAAAATTTATTCTACCTTTTTTGTTTCTTTATCAAATGTTTTTAATATTTCTCACCTTGACTGGCTTTATCAATAATGCTACTATTACGATTAGTACCAGTTATAAAGATAAATTAAATATTTTACTTAAAATAACAAATCTTAAATACAAAGGATTGTGTTCTTTCATTTGTTTTCACACACAGTATCAAAGATAATCTATACTTTCTAAATTTTATTCTTTATAAATGAGACTTCTTAAGCACTTATTTCTTTGCTGAAAATATAAATTCTATAAAACTAACTGTTCAAGAAATTGACAATATGTTTACTGTATTAAACATAAAATTTTAAATTCATAATTAACATACAAAGAATAGTATTTTCAAGGAAGCTGTTAAATAAAGCTATGAAGATGAACACAATGAGACATCATTCTGGACAGATTTCTACAAATTTGTACAGGAGATTGCTCAGTATGTCATAAAAATAATATTTAATTTTAAATTAGCCTCTTAAAATATAAATGAAAAAGTTTATAAAGGTATCATTGACAAGCAAGATTAAAATTAAAAATTAGCTTTACTGGATGGGAAAATATAAATCATTCTTACAAAACTTGCAATGAGCTCATCAAATTCAAATGCAGCTTTCCATTAAGGTTTTTTTATATATTAAAGGAATAAACATGGTTCATTTGTCTTTCACGGGTTGCCATGTTTTTCTGTGCTGTTGCTATGAACTTCAGCCATTATCTGCGCTCCAAGGTAAACTACATGAACCATCAACAAAAGTGACACCCAATCTATGGAGTTCATATTTTCTCCAGATTATCTATGCTAGTTGACAAGCTGGTAATGAAAAAAATCACACTAAGCAAATGGTTCTCTAATAACAATAAATTTTCTATAAAATTATGAAGGGTACAAAATGTTTCCTTGCATCTATTTTGTCATGAATTCTAATTAATGCTGCAAAAAACCTGAGAGTGCTGGGTCATCACAAGAAGTATATCAAGGCTTGATTGATACTGTGGGGCAAGTTGGCCTACACTGCCAACATTTTCTTCTTTTAAATTAATGGCCATCCCACCTACCCTAATCATATAGCTCAAATTATATTCCTCTTCTTATTTCAATTTTCTGAAAGCATGGAGGCTGGTAAAGATCAGTCATTTATCTTCTAATAGCTGGGTAATAGATCTATCACAATATAGCATCTGCAGAAATTCAGGTGTTACATTCCTCCCCCCTCCACGTAAATCTTTTACAAACATTGAATTAGTATCTTTAGAAGACACTAGATTATTCATATATCTAAGCATTACATTTTACACATTCTCTCTTGCATATTTGTTACATGTGTTAAGGAATATATCTGATTTTGCTCCATTTTCCCCAAAACAATACTGTACATTAGAATTTATCAGCAATTTTAATGAAAAAACTATTAAGAGTAATAGTAATAAAATAAACACATGTATGACCTGCAAATTTTTAGACTTCCCAGGAGTAAGCTGCTACAGATAATCCTATTTAGTCTTCACAGGGTACATGGATAGTCACTTTATTTTAAATGAAATATATACTTTAATCCATAGCTGCAGACCCAAAAAGGCCAATAAGCATCAAGGAAGCTGTATCTGTGGAATCCCTGGGGCTCTCTGAGCTTGACTGTTTGCAGAAGTTTCCTTACCTTACTAGGTAATGTCATCAGTGATCACATCAGAGCACTGATGATGTTACTTAATTGGGTAATGAAAGGTCTGCAAGCAAGTAACCAAACTCTAAGAGCACCAAGGACTCCATAGTTCAACCCTGAACTATGTATTGCTTCTTCTATTGGAAGCTATATCTACTAGGACATACAAGTAGACCTCTACACTGCAATTGTGCCCAAAATTTCCTTTGCTAATGAAAGCAGTTGTTAAGGAGTCATGCCCCATTTTATGACCTTTTTTTGCCATAGTGGTTAAGCAAATCACTACAGTTAAGTGAATCATGCAGCCAGTTAAGTGAATTTGGCTTTTCGCATTGACTTTGCTTGTCAGAAGTTCCCTAGGAAGGTTACAAATGGCAATCCCAGAACCCCAGGATGCTGCAACCATTGTAAATATATGCTGGTAGACAAGCACCTGAAGTCTGATCACATGAGTGTGGGGATGCATTAACAGTCATAAATGTGAGAAATACTCATCAGTCATTTTTTTCAGTGCCATTGTAACTTTAAATGGTCATTAAATGAATGGTTGTAAGTCCAGGACTATAGGTACTATGAGGCTATGTTTCTATACTCAGTTCCATAATTTTTTTTGTCTAAAGATTAAATATTCTTCCTACAAAATCTATAGGACTCCAAAAATAAAGGTGTCTAGAATGTTATTTATGATTTTTTTTCTATTTTCTTTTTTGTCTAAGAGATACGAAATGATTTAAAATGGATAAAATAACAACTAATCAATTTGTATGGAATGCAACATTCACCTAAAAGCCAGGATTACTTTAACCTTAGTTAAAGCAGAACTAAATAATTTTTATTCTGATGATATTTGCCAGTGATAATTATGCCTTCATAATTAAAGTATTAATTATGAGAATTTTCCAAGGAAGAGGGTATCATTGAACGCTATTTAGAATATGGTTTCTTGCCTCCGCTTAACAAGGACTGGTCTACCCTAGCTGGTTCCTGAAACCATGCTGTTGAATATAATCTATAAAGCCTTAATAAAGGAATTACATAATTGACATATCCACTACAATCTAAAAAAAGCTATCTTAAAAATTACCTCTAAGCAATTTTGGACAGAACTCTTCAGAGCTTTCAATCTGTTAATATGTTTAGGATCCAGTCATTCAGAGAGAGTTGATAATAGAATGGTTATTTTATTTTGTTAGCTTTATGGTTCTTATAAAAATATTGTAAATCAATAAGATTCCATGTGTATTCAAAGGCAGGATTGTAAATAAATATATACAAAGAAAGAAATAATAATGAGTGGTAATGGGGAAGGGATTTAAATATTCACTAATTCATATTGTATACATTTAATTTGTAAATTACATTTATTTGATTCAGACTTTCTAGACAAGACCACAGTGGAAATGAGAAGAAATTATTAAGGTACCAGCAACCAGCGTATCTGCTCACAATGTCAATCTTTTTCACAATAAAATAGCACTTCTAGTTCACGCTAATTTTTATTTTATTAGAATTTTGTCCCATCTTTATTACTGTATCAGTAGCTATATCTAAAACTTGAACTCTTATCCTGATGAGTTTTATGCTTAAAATGGCTTAACTTAGGTAAAAATATCACAATTCTAATTTCATTATAAAGCTTGCTAATTTTTATTGCTTACCGTGCTTTTGTCTTTCAAAAGCTTCTCTATTACTTCGATTAACATTTCTTTTTGTTCCGGATCAAGACTAAAAATTTAATATAAAAAATGTCAGCAGATATTAGAATAGAATAGAATAGAATAGAATAGAATAGAATAGAATAGAATAAATAGAATAGAATAGAATAGAATAGAATAGAATAGAATTAGAATAGAATAGAATAGAATAGAATTCTTTATTGGCCAAGTGTGATTGGACACACAAGGAATTTGTCTTGTGTACATAAAAGAAAAGATACATTCGTCAAGAATCATAAGGTACAACACTTAATGATAGTCATAGGGAACAAATAAGCAATTTGTTGTTATTTGACAGATTTGGGCTAAATGTATATTATAAGTGAACTAAAAGAAACAAGTGTAATGGATTCCATTCTAAGTTATAATATGGATATATGTCTACTGGACAATGAAAAAGAGAAAATTAAAGAAATTTTATCAGAGCTTTTTCAGCTGCTCAATAAAATTGAACTTGTCACATACAGAGCATATATACTGTCTTCATCTATGCTGAAACAGACAACTTAAAGTAATTTCATTGATTTTTATCACCATTAGCATATGGTTCTTATCATAAACTTTGTAAAACTTCATTATGTTAAATATTAAACATTTCTTATATATTAATGGTTAGAGATAACTTACCTGTAAAGTTTCTGAATTGCATGGGCAGCATTTTTTCTAACATAAGGTGATAAATCAGCTGATGCTTCTTTGATAGCAAGCATCATAATTGGAACAATAATTGTCACTCTGATACTTGATAGCACCCGCAAAGCACTTGCACGGATCAACTGATTATGATCCTAAAACAAAAATAAAATATAATCTTTAAATAAATGCCACTTATTAAAGGCATACATTTATTTTTGTTTTTTTTTCTACTTTTTTATCCTAACACCTTATTTTATGACATAGTTCTACAAAAAAAATCAAAAATAATAATCTAGTCCAGCCACTGTAGATATTTATCTAATAATAGATACAAAACAATCAAAACTTGTTTTAACTTTTAAATTCTTCATTAGATAATTAAAACTAAGGTAGATATAACTGCCTATATTTAGTAAAATATACACTTAGAATCATAATTAATTTATTGTGCTTTGCCCATTAAATCTTTTTGAGAAAAATGAGAACATCAAATCGCTGAGCAAATTCAACAATTTGTAACAACAATTTTTCTTTGAATTAGAAATACTAAAAAAATATTTTTATGAACTGTTCATTTTTCTTGATTGGGAGACACAGAATTTTGTATAAAGTGAGTGGTTATATAAATGTTTTATAGAGTAGAGAAAGATAGAGTAGGATAGGATAGGATAGGATAGGATAGGATAGGATAGGATAGGATAGGATAGGATAGGATAGGATAGGATAGGTTTATTTGGTCAAGTGTAATTAGACACACAAGAATTTGTCTCTGGTGCAAAAGCTTTCTGTGTACATACAAAATAACATAGTAATGATGATACCACTAAGAGGAGGTAGTAGAAAAGATGAGAAGGATAATAGTAATATAGCCATACTATGTAGGCATATGACAGTACTATGGGAATTAAATGTTCAGCAAAGTGATGGCACAAAGGACAACACTGTCTCGTGTCTAATTGTTTTGGCATGCAATGCCCTGTAGCAGCGTTCCAGGGGGAGGAGTTGAAACAGTTTATTTCCAGGATGTAAGGGATCTGTAGATATTTTCTCAGCCCTCTTTCTGACCTGTGCAATATGCAGGTCCTCAATGGAAGGAAGGCTGGTTGCAAGTCCCAACTATCCGTTGATGTCTATATCTGTCCTATTTGGTTGCTGGACCAAATCAGACAGTTATAGAAATACAAACAACAGACTCAATAATTCCTCTGTAGAACTATATCAACATCTCCAGGGGCAGTCTGAACTTTTTGAGTTGACGCAGGAAGAACATTCTTTGTGGCGCCTTTTTAATAATGGTTCTAATGTTAGGTGTCCATTTCAAATCCTAGAACCCAAAAACTTGTTGGGTTCTCAACTCAACTGTTGTTACTGTGCTGTCTAATATAGTAAGAAGTGGTAGAACAGAACAGCTCCTTCTAAAATCCACTCTCATCTCTACAGTTTTAAGCGTGTTCAGCTCCAGATTGCTCCGGCTGCACTACAGGATCAATTGTTCAACTTCCTGAATATACTGTATGCAGACTGATCACCGTCTCGAATGACACCAATGACTGTTGTATCATCTGCAAATTTCAGTACTTTAACAGATGGATCCTTAGAGAGGTAGTCATTGGTATTGAGAGAAAAGAGTACTGGAGAGAGCACACAGCCCTGCAGTAGGGGGCGCCTGTGCTCATAGTTTGAATGTTCGATGTGACTTTACCTAGCTTCACCTGCTGCTTTCCATCTGTCAAAAATCTTATAATCCACCTATAAGTATGGACAGGTACAGCTAATTGATAAAATAGTTCTGTGAGATGTCACCACAATCTGCATTACAGATGAATATACAGGCTATTAAGTCCAGAAAATACACCATAACAGTTAAAAACAACCATATAGCATTTCTATAGCTATTTTTAATTTTGTAATTCCTAAAAATAGCAATGCCTTTCCCCAAGATTGTGCAACTGCCTTTCACACTCCTGCTATATATAGTGTCTGAAAGTTCACATTGCATTTTATTGTCTTTGAATTCCTTCTAGAATTCCACAGCCTGATACATAGTTCAAATAGGATAATGCTTAAGCAGAAGCAGTTATGTAACATACTGTTGCAAGAAAAAGTATGTGAACCCCTTGGGATTACGTGGAGTTTTGCATGAATTGGTGATAAAATGTGCTCTGAACTTCATTTAAATCACAATAGAAAAACACAATCTGCTTAAAATAATACTACACAAACATTAGATGTTGCCATGGTTTAATTGAACATAACATGTAAACATTCACAGTGCAGGGAGGAAAAAGTATGTGAGCCCCTAGCCTAATGACTTCTCCAAGAGCTAATGGGAGCCAGGAGTGAGCCAACCTTGACTCCAATCAGTGTGATGATATTGGATGTGTTGCTGACAGTTGTCCTGCCCTTTAAAAATACACACCTGTTTTGGGTTTACTGGTTTCAAGAAACACTGCCTGATGTGAACCATGCCTCACGGAAAAGAGCTCTCAGAAGACCTACGATCAAGAATTGTTGACTTGCATGAAGCTGGAAAGGGTTACAAAAGTATCTCCAAAAGCCTTGATGTTCATGTGTCCACTGTAAGACAGACTGTCTACAAATGGAGAAAGTTTAGCATTGTTGCTACTCTCCCTAGGCGTGGTCGTCCTGTAAAAATGACTGCAAGAGCACAGCGCAGAATGCTTCATGAGGTAAAGAAGAATCCTAGAGTGTCAGCTAAAGACCTACAGAAATCTCTGGAACATGCTAACATTTTTGTTGACACATCAACAGTAAGGAAAATATTAAACAAGAATGGAGTACATGGGAGGGCACCACAGAGTAAGCCATTGCTGTCCAAAAAAAATATTGCAGCACGTTTGAAGTTTGCAAAAGAGCACCTGGATGTTCCACAGCACTACTGGCAAAATATACTGTGGACAGATGAACCAAAATTGAGTTGTTTGGGAAGAACACACAACACTATGTGTGGAGAAAAAAGGCACAGCACACCAACATCAAAACCTCATGGCGGAGGGAGCATCATGGTTGGGGCTGCTTTGCTGCCTCAGGGCCTGGACGGATTGTTGTCATTGATGGGAAGATGAATTCCAGAGTTTATCAAGACATTTTGCAGGAAAACGTACGACCATCTGTCCGCCAACTGAAGCTCCACAGAGGATGGGTGATGCAACAGGACAATGACCCAAAGCATACAAGTAATTCAACAAAAAAATGGCTTCAACAGCACAGAATAAGCCTTCTGGAGTGGCCCAGTCAGAGTCCTGACCTCAACCCGATTGAAATGCTGTGGCATGACCTTAAGAGAGCGATTCACACCAGACATCCCAAGAATATTGCTACACTGAAACAGTTTTGTGAAGAGGAGTGGTCCAAAATTACTCCAGATCGTTGTGCAGGTCTGATCTGCAACTACAGGAAACGTTTGGTTGAGGTTATTGCTGCCAAAGGAGGGCCAACCAGTTATTAAGTCCAAAGGTTCACATACTTTTTCCTCCCTGCACTGTGAATGTTTACATGTTATGTTCAATTAAACCATGGCAACATCTAATGTTTGTGTAGTATTATTTTAAGCAGACTGTGTTTTTCTATTGTTGTGACTTAGATGAAGTTCAGAGCACATTTTATGACCAATTCATGCAAAACTCCACGTAATCCCAAGGGGTTCACATACTTTTTCTTGCAACTGTATAACAAGTGTAATATTACAGTTTATTTCAGTAGTCAATATTAAAGAGTGTATAAGGCTTACATACTCTAAAGTTGTTACCAGAAATTTGATTAAAACTATGTTATTCATTCCAGTTTTCTATAAATCTTGTATTCCCTTCCCTGTAAACCTTCATGTTTCTAACCCAATTAGAGAAATAACAGATTTGATATCTGCGGACGGCAATCTATTAGATCCAATCAGATTGGATTCAACCATGGTGACTGCCATTAAAATACCACTGAAAAATTCTCTTCCCTGCAGCCCTAAGTACAAGTCTGTAACTTTCTCTAGAGGAGTGAGAAAACCCTCCCAAGCAGACCTGAGATCCTGGCAAGGGGCTGAAAGAGAAGGAAACTTCAGTTATACAAATAGAAAACCACATCTGCAAAACTGGGTTTAACCACTTTCAATTTTAAAAATGGCACTTTATATAAGCAATAAAGCAGATTACTGGTAACTTCAGAAATAAAATGGTATACTTTTGGGTTTTGTCTGTTGAAAATTATCTACAACTTTATAAAAACAAAAATTGCTTCTCGTTTAATTTTACTCACTTTCAGAGCACGCTGAAAGGTGCTGATTGACAGCAGTGCCAGATCCTGCTGTTCTTCTGCATAACGCATCAAATAGACATATACAAGTTTTTTAATCTGAAAAACAAACCAGTTCATTTGGACATATTACAATTTGATATCATCCACAAGAACATCCAATATGGTTGTTTAAGATTGTTACATTATGGACATTCTATATTCCCTGTAACATGATATGCTTGCATTTTATATACAGAGTTTCTAAACAGGTAAGTGACTGAAAGTCTACAGCTTACAAAAACTACAGTTTAGTTAATTTCTAAACAAAGCCCATGTAGGTTTAAATGAACCTGAACAAAAAATTGATTTCAATTTTAAATAGATCATAAGGAATTGTAAAAAAAAAAAAAACTGTAAAAAAACCTTCTAAGTACAGTTGTGCTATAATTATTGTCACTATCTGAAGAAATATTTCTCTGTCTATTCTGCCAAAAAGCAACATATTAAATCACAGAGGGTTACAAGGCTTTAAATTATTTGTTGTTGTACTATGAACAAGCAGCAATCAACACTGACAACAAGAGGCCTGTATAGTGAATGACTGCAGGTGTGCAGAGAAAGCCTCTGTTCCTTGAAACCACTTGGAGATCAGAGGCAGGAGAACTTCAGTTTCGTGACTGCACCGTTCTTTCATCATTTACTTTCATTCAATGTTACAGCATTCGTCCCTTTAAAACTAATAATAACAGAGCCACATTAGAGTTGAGGAACAGAGGCAGTTCTGTTTAATTAGTTTATCAATACAAGTATATCAAACTTCATGAGTTATTGACTAAACCTTTTGTTATTTCTGCTCTAAACCACCAATTATATTTTAAGGTCACTTTCTGCATCTTTTAATGTGAAGCCTAAAATTAAGTATAGGGCAATTCGCTGTTTATAAAAATTAATTTAACTAAACTAAATGTCCTTGACTAGCTTTGAAATCCTTGTTTTGCCACATGGTCTGTAACTGGATCTTTTTGTAGAAATGTGATGGTCAGAGAGAAAAAAAGGAGAAAACCCAATGATAAAAACACGTTTTCTCCTTTTCAAGTACTTTTCTTTACCTTTCAGGTTTAAAAAAAACTGAAAAAAGAAGTATGAAATATTTCCCAATATTTTTATTTAAAATTAAATATAAAAGTAAATAACAAAAATCCAGATTCATTTTAAAAAATAGACAAATAGCATGCAAAGGGATAAAGAAGCCTACACCAATACTAGCAAACTTTTAATTTCCAGAAGGCCAGAGAATAATAAACTAACATAAAGGATTAAACCTGAGAAGAACAGCTGGGTAGAAATAAATTTAAAAATATCCCTACAACAAAATAGATTGTAAATGTATGGCAGATATGGGGTGCTAATTTTAAACTGCTCCAATACACTTACCTCATAGGTTTCAAGCACTACTGCAGATTTATATCTTTGATTAATGTATCTTAATGCCTATTAAAATCTATAGACAACCAAACTACTCTGAGAATTTCAACATAACATGCATTGAAGATTGTCAGAAGAAACGTATTTCAATATTCAATTCACATGTTGTTGGAAAGTGTACAGTCCAGCAATGTGTATTGTATATGAAATTGTTCGTAATACAATCTAGTTTCTTCCACAAAGATACTTATAATGTTTGCTTAAAGTAAATGTTTTAAGCTATCCAGAAACACTGAGAGGTGAGATGGGTGGTAAATAAATCTAATAAATAAATATGTATTTTTATAGTCTATAAAAACTGACTGAACCAGACTGAAGAGATCTTAGCATTAACTCCTACAACCCAGCATGAAAGAGATTATTGCTGGCTCTGTGTTCACAACACAGCTGTACAGTACTTTGTATTTAGTGCATAATATGCAGTTTCATAAATCATGATAATACCATGCTAACACATTAACATATTCCATTAATTATTACAAGCAAGATGTGATGCAGTGTTTGTAGCAGGCAATAAAGCTTTGCTTTAGTATCTTTCAAAAGGTAGGCAAACATTTCTGCCCTGGTTCAGAATTAGTTTAACTAATGTTGATGTGAGGGTACATTAACTCCTCCCTAAAATGAAATATGAATATATTGGAGGACTTTTATTTTGGGATAGTAAGCTTATATGTTGGCTGGCTCTAATTTCTCAGTACAGATATGAAGGAAGCTGATTGGCAAGGAAAGAGGAAATAATTTTCTCTTAGGAAGAACCATATGGTTATTTTAATATGAAATATTCTCACCTTAGTGAATTATTGTTTCATTATTCAATTTAGATGTTCATAACAACATTAAATGGTTTATTAAATATATAATATTTGTCTGAGAGAAATCGTTTGTTCATAATTCAAATTCTAAAGAATTGTTCTCATAAAAGGCTAATAATCATACTTTTCAGATAAATTTGATATCATGTTATAAAGATTATGAAGGATTACTTTTGGATATGCAGTCTGAATAAAAAACCCACTACATCTCTTACCTCATAAATTCCTAGTTCCATTACTAGAAGCCAAACTCATAACACCTAGTGCATTGTCAATAATAAGATATACAATAAAGTACAACAAATTACATTCCTCTTAATGATGATGGAGGGAGAGAAAGAGAGCTAGCTGAAAGTAGCTCCATGCAGTATTTCCCATTGGTTTTAAAGTAGCTCATATGTAAGGTTGATTTAAGCAAGTGATCAGAAACCCCTAGCTTACAGGCCACATGTGGGTCCTGAACTACTTTTGTGCACCTCCTATCAAATCATCCCACTGAAAGTGCTTCCATTGATTTTTCATGGAAAATAAAACCATGAAGGTATGTAAGCTTTAGTAAACTGTAGCAAGCTAACCCCCACTATGCCCTAAAACACTCCACTTTACTCACCTGCATGACTTTAATTAGTTTGACATCTGTTGGGACACAAACTCTACTATGCATGTTTCTTCCAGAAAACTAAAGCTGAATGTAGTTGAAAGATCCTATCGGGGTCGGTCACCAAAACCAGAGGTTCTGTCTTCTGAGCTTTCGGACTCATGCTGGAGCCCACCTTCAGGGAACTTCTCTTTAGACTCTGGCCCCAGTGACCGACCCAGATTGGATCCTGCAAAAATTATCCTGGGATACATATGTATTTTCCTTCATTCGTGAATGTAGTTGAACATGTATCATGAAATCAGAGTTTAATAAACTCAGAGAAATGATGAACGGAATTCCACAGAAGGAGAAGGCAATGGAGAAAGGAACTCATTATCAGTGGAATTCCTGAAAAATAGATGTTAAAATATATACAGCGCAGAAGAATATCAAGGATTGCAGAAGCAAACATGACCACACAAAATTCTTAGTAAAGATTCGAATAGAAAAAAAATATATCCATAAATTGATGGAAAGAGGTATATATCACCAAGGAAAACTACAGAGATTTTCCAGAATTGTAGAAAAGGTAATCGGGGAAGATAAACTCAGGATGACTTGGGGCAAGGATACTAAGGATACTAAGAAAAATAAATGTGATAATACATTTGTTTTTGTGTAAAAATACCCATTCTGTAGAAATACCCATTCCTACATTATAAGAACACATTTAATAAGTAGTGACCATAAAACTATGATAATATGAATAATCTCTTGATATTAAGGAAGACTGGGACACAAATCAACTACCAAAGTCTGTGGATCCAGAGGAGAAGGTCGATGCAGATCAATCACAGTGTCTGGATCCAGAAAAATAGTCCAACTGATCAGACTCCAAAATCCCATTAGAAAACTATGTAAAGATCTGATCACTTGATCACTAGAGTTTAAGCAGCTGATAGGGGCTTGAAAGCATATCTTGGAGTTCAATAAAGTAAACTTGAGTAAATTCAGAACAAAGATAAGGAGAACTATCTGGCTGAGAAGTTAATAAGAAAAGAAGGTTGAAGTGAATGGGAGATATTAAATTATTTCAGTGATGAAAAATTATGGACTTCATACAACAGACTATATTTTAATTATTAAGTATGTTTAATTTAAGGAGGATTCAGACAAACATTATGTACTATGAAGAATGAATAGACTGAGCTAAGTGAGGATATGCTAATCTTCAAAAATCCAAATACTGTGCGTCAATAAGAGAAAGACAAAACATCTTTATATCAATCTATAAGACGTGACATGGATTAATAGATTTAATTTTACATAACATTAGATTACCGTTGAATGTTAGGAAAAGTTTCCGAAGAGTAATAGTTCAACAACCAATTATTAAGAGAGCTGATGGGCTTCCTTTCACTGCATGTGATCAGAAATTTGGATTTCTGCTTGGAGCAGCCTAAATGTCTCTGTCAAATTCTGTAATTCTTTGAAGAATCCAAATGTGATTATAGAGAAAAGAATGGTGGAGAAATAATTTAGGTAGACCACCAAGTAAAACAAAATGCACATGTTATGGTTTAGTGCAGAACTCCATGAAGCCTAAACAGTTTGCACAAAAGTTCCCACTGATGTGCAGATGATTTTTTTTAATATACTGTAATAATTTTATTAGCCCTATTTAATGAGATCATTCCCTTACATTTAAACATTGTACATTAAATCAAGCACAAGAATTAATAACCCATTCATAACAGCAAGAACATCCTTGGTTTCCAAAAAAAGTTGTATACTCCTTATTGTTATGCCTGATAAAAGTAGCTGAAAGAAAGAAGTAATGGAAGAGAGGATATTATTATACAATTTATTGGAAGTATTAATAATCTATATTCAGAGGCCCTGGAATAAGTAATTCTGCCTAAAATAGCAATGACAAATCAATTTACCTCTCAGGATAATGCTTTTACTTAAGACTGTATAGACATAATCAAGTCTCCATATTTTCCTTCAACTATGACTGTTCCCTTTATCCTATATCTTGACAGTAAAGAAAATCTAAGTGTACTATTAAGACTAGTAAAGATGTTTTCTCCATGAACCTGCTTTTAAATCTAATATGTTACAACAAGTACTTTTATAAAAAAAATTGAGAATACAGAAGAAATACATTGGGAAATGTACCAATGTAATTCAGAGCTTCTATTTGAAATGCTTCAATTACTGTAGAATATGAGAAATAAATGCAAACTAACAAAATATGAGAAAAACAGATACCAGATGACCCAACATATAACCATTAATTTATTCACTCAATTTATGCCTTCTACTTCTACTGTGACAAATACTCAACGAGTATTTGACTATTATGAGAGCCACTTTGGTGTGATGGTTAAGGCATCAGACTAGAAACTGGGAGACCATGAGTCTGTTAGACACGAAGCCAACTGCATGACTTTGGGCCAATCATTCTCTCTCAGCCTTAGGAAGGAGGTAAAACAAACCACTTTTGAAATTTTGCCAGGAAAACTTCACGGACTTGTACAGGCAGTTGCCAAGAGTCAATACTGAATAAAAGGTGTGCATGGGCATGCACATACACAAATTACAGCAGTGCATTCGCCCTGATCCTTCTGGAAGGATTCAGGCTGCTGGTTCAAGTACCATTATTTCATCAATGATGGGCTGAACTAACCTAACCAAAGGTATCCTCATAGGGGCAGAAATATTTGTACCAAAGAATTTTAATAGGGACAGTTGCAGCTTTGCCAAACAAAAGTAGGTACAGAATCATGCCAAATATTAGCAATGAATAAAGACAGAGGTAAGCTTAAAATTTACAGTTTAGCAAAAGCAACATGTAACTGACAGGAATTTCTATTAAAAGCAAAGTCATTCCCTGTAAATACACTGAACAAGGTCAACAGACAAGAGTAACTAGACCTATATCACCTGTTCCTATCATAGAAGATTCATTACTTTTTCTACACCTGTTTCACTGGAACATTATTATAATTACTGTACTGGTAGTCGTTGACTTACAATTTACTTAGTGATTGTTCGAAGTTACAACAGCACTGAAAAAAGGGACTTAAGATCGTTCTTCACACTTACAATCATTGTAGCATAGGCACATGATCAAAATTTGGACACTTAGCAACTGACTCATATTTATGATGATTGCAGTGTCCCAGGGTCATGTGATCACCTTTTGCAATCTTCTGACAAGCAAAGTCAATGGGGAAGCCAGATTCACTTAACAACCATGTTACTAACTTAATTGCAGTGATTCACTTAACAACTGTGGCAAGAAAGGACTTAGAAGTTTTAAAAGATGCTCTTAGAATTAAAAGAACAAGTGTTTTGTCACCATACCTCAATACTTTTACTTGCTACATTCTTCACTACTGCAGGAAACAATTCAGATGCATTTTTTCCTCTGGCAATCATCTTAAAAGAAAAAATTCCTTTAATATAACATGCTACTTTAAAATACAGTGAATAATTTAATACATATACACTAATAGTACATTTCAATTTTCAACTAAGTTCCTTCAACTCTGAAGTAAGTTTCTTCTTTGATAACATATCTTAAAAGGAAATTCTAAATTATATAATTTTTCAAAGAAATTTCAATTAATTTAAAACAAGTACATAGGTAAATTACTTCAATTTGTTCAAGGGACAGTTGAAAATAATCTAGAATACCATTTTTGCTGGAACACCAGTGAATTATTCTGATTTAAAAAGGGGTAGAATTGAAGCCAAACTGTTATCAGACTTCACAAATATCCCAATAATACTTACAGCATAATAAAATGGCAATATTTAATATTACTTTTTAAAGCACTGTATGTTGTATTATTTAAATAGCAATAACTGCAGCATACTATGAAAAAATATATTTGGAATCTTTTTAGAATATATTTGGTCTCATAATGTTGCCCAGAATCACTTCTTGTGAGATAAATTTGACAAATAAAAATCATGATCACTGTAATTTCAATAAAAAAAATTTATTTTTATTTAGTGATTTTTTTTTAATCCTTAGCCTCACTTTTTATCTCACGCCTTATTTTCTTCAGCTAATTGTTTCTTTTCTGTGTTTTGCATAATGTTGTCTAATCAATATGCACCTACTTAGGTATACTATAATTTTAAAAACCATTTTTAATCTATTTTAGCACTCAGGTTTTGCAAATACTTGTTGTAAGTCTGTTTATTTGTTTCTGGCTTCTGGTCATATATTTTTATTCAAAATATATACCAGCTTTTCCAAAAGTTGGCATAAACAACATGTGGACTTGAACTTCAGATACTGTAAACCACAGGGAGTCTGAATGGAAAAATAAGAATGCAAAAAAATACCTGCCACAATTTCCTAACCAGCATCTAGAGGAGGATGCCAAGACTGAGGAAGTGTGACCTATGTATTTTTGATTCTGCAGATCATATTTAACCAAATATACAACAGTCCAGTTTGGATGCAAATATGGACTCCTGTGAACAGAAAAGCTCCTTTCATTTAGATTCATTTAGAATCACATTGACTGAACTTATTTTCAATTCTCCTGAAAATCTCTTAGAAGGTTCTTCAAAACAATGAAGTAGGGAAAAGAAAAATGATAAAAAATACCAAACTGAACTGATGCCATAAGATTGGTATGCTCTTGGGTTCTGTCAGTTAAACAACAATATCTATTGGGATCTCGGAAGCAAATGTTCTCTATAGCAACCCCTGCCCTCTATCATGAGGTTCCCCCCACCCAAATTCTAACAGAACCCAACCTGCTTGTATTTCAAATGGCTCTGAAGACCTGGCTCTTCATTCAGTGGTTGGGCCAGGGTGCGTGAAATTCCCTTTAGAACATGTGGGTTGTTTTCTTTGTTCCCCTTTGTTTTTGCCATCTTACTCTTCATTTTAAACTCAGAGTTGCTGGGAATCAAGGGACATGTAAATTTATATGAATGTTCAAAATGAAAAAAGATGCAAACTGCATTATACACATAATAAAAGCTGAACATACTCCAACAATCCTTTTCATAGCCTCCAATTTAGCAGAATCTTTACTGCTTTCCAGCATCTGCTTAAGATCTTCATTTCTATAAAAGAGAAAATGAATATGTAAGATTATTGGCATCAAAACCTGATTGTGAACTTATTAATCATAAAAACAAAAAATGGGATCCGACATGCAATACAATGTCAGGATTCAGCAATGCAGGAACTTACCTAAAGAAAACCTGTTGCAAATTCCATTTGGGAGATATTAAACTTTTAGAACAAATCAAAAACCCTGTTTCCCCCAAAATAACACATCTTCTGATAATAAGCCCAATCGGGCAATAAGGCCAAGCGCTTATTTCAGGGTTCAAAAAAATATAAGACAGGGTCTTATTTTTGGGGAAACACGGTATATAAAATACTATATATTTTATGACAAATCAATGGATTGTTACAACCAAAGTGGTTAAAGAGACAAGAAAAAATAGTCTTCCTATAAATACTGAAACAGGAAGTACAAATCATTTCTGCAATCTACTGAGCTAAAACCAAGAGCATATTGTGGGAAAGTATTATTATTATTGTTGTTGTGATGGTGGTAGTGGTGGTGATTGTTGTTGGTCTCAGTCAGCCAGATGCTTAGACAGGATTTTATATTTCTCTCTACCAAGTCTTTCCCAATGTCTAGACCAGGGGTGTCACACTCAATGCCCACAGATGGGATACGGCCCGCAGGTTGCTTAGATGTGGCCCGCAGGGCCGCCCTGGAAACAGCAAAGGACTGGCCTGCAGTGCCTCTGCCAGCAAAAATGGAGCTCAGGACAGCAGCACGTGGCCCTCCCAAGGTCTGTTTTTGGCTGCAACACCCTCCTGCAGGCGTCTGCCAGTGAAAAAGGAGCTCGGGAGGGCTGCACACAGGCTTCCCAGGCTCTGTTTTCACTGCCAGACAGCTGCAGGACGTCGAGCTAGCCACACCCATCCTGACCAAGCCCATCATGGCTATGCCCACTCGGCCCCTTGAGGTCAAACACAACCCTTAATGAAATTGAGTTTGACATTCCTGATCTAGACCATCTAACCATTGAAGCATAGCATCATTTATATTTTTAAAAAATCAGATACTGGACTGGTATACGCCCTCAGCTTACAGCTGGTCACAGTGTGATCTACAGTTTGATGTTGGACCCCGCAGTCACATTGGAGGACACTATGCCCCATAGAGAGAATCCCAGCAATACATCTGGTAATTTGCAATCTACAAACATTTAGGCCCCTAAGAAGCAAGACTCTTATGTGATTATGTTTACATTGCTATGTGATGCATTGTATGTATAGGAACCATTCTTGCTTAAGTTTCAATTTCTTTTAAACTTTTATTATGTATATATATTGTTAGTTTTGTCATTGTATTCTCCAAGTTTATGTTTTTAATTAGGTATTGTTGGAATGGGGTATTACTTCCAAAGTTGAACAAAATGTATACTTCTTCTTGCATATATCCCATTAAATGCTATGTATATTTATTTTGGATTTTTTAATTGTTATTTATTGTCTTAAAATGTCTTAATTGTAATATATTTTTTTAGTTATAAGCTGCCCAGAGTCGTTGACTGAGATGGGCAATTACAGAAACTGAATAAATAAAATACAATGGTTTTTCTGAGACTATAAGTAGTAAGAAAAGTTGTAGTTTCATTTCAAATTTAAATTTATTATTTATTACATGAAGAAATACTGCAATAAATATTATTTTAACTAATACTATTACAAATAATAACAATATAATAATCCTTGGATAGTCCATTGATCCTTGGAAGTTGATACTGACCACTTTGAAAAGCCCTGACTGGAGATTACCAGCTTGACTTGTGGTCACCTATAACAGTAATGGTGAACCTTCTCGGCATGGAGTGCCCAAACCAGAACGTGCATGTTCGTGCATACACATGCATGAGCGCATGCGTCGGAGCCCCGGAAACACGAAGACCAGCTCGCCAGTGCGCATGCCCACAGAGCATTATTATAGGTCCGTGATGGCAAATCTATGGCATGCGTGCCAGAGGTGGCACGCATGCCATAGGTTTGCCATCACGGACCTATAATAATTACTAGAGATCCCTTGGAAGGAGATACCTGCCTGTGAGGTCTTTCAGTTTGTAACAGGGAAAGAGAAAATTATGCCACAACCTTCCAGTATAAAACGTTTTTCATAGCACAAATTGTCTGCCTAGTCTGCAATAAACTGAGCTCACTAAGAGATAGTATTTTTCTTTTTTTTCCTTTTAAAAACAACTTAAATTGTTTTGTGAGCCGAAGCCACATACTTGTCACCAGTGCAACAGATTTCCTCCATAAATGTGCTGCTGTACGATAAAACAGATGTTTCTCTCATCTTCCTCCCACCCCATGTAATTATTTCCTCAGAGCATATACAAAAGATGGGAGTTTGCAAAGGTGCAGCAATAAATGCAGCGTTCATATCCAAATGCTTGGCAAGAATGAGATTTTTTTAGAGCCCAGCAGAAGTAGTAGTAAATCTGAGGCATGCTCCACTGTTCTTTGCACAAGGAATATTACTATACTGCATTCAAAGTTAGAATCTGAAGTGAAAGAATAATCAAAACAAAGAAAAAATGAAGATAATGAGATACTTACAAAAAAAGATTTTCTTCATATGATTCAACAGAAATGCCAGTAATCCTATTTTCTCCTCAGTAGGCTCTGATTTTAGAGTAACGTTGAGCATATCTGCCTTTTCAAAGAATAAATGTAATCCTGCAAGCAACCCCACTGAATTTATCTAACAAAGGAGTACTTGTTCTAGGCCTTCAAATTTAGCAAAAAGAAACAAGCATACTTGCAGTGAAAGCTACTGATCACGATCAAAACTGTAGAATGATTATGAAGTAACAGGATACCAACTCCCTTCACTTTAAAGAAATGCATACGCTATCAACGATCATTTCCTCACAGAAAAACGTCTTACTAGCCAACTTCAACAAACAGCATGACACAGCAAGACATGAAAATCATTCTTGTTACCTTATTCCAGTTTTTCAACAAAAATAAGTCAGAAACTGGTAGCATACATCCCAAGAAAAGTTACAAATTATCTTAATATGAAATTAATAGGATTATAATGTATTTTGCATTCTAGAGAAATTTTAAGTAAGAGGTGGTATTGGCACAGTGGTGAAATCCAATTTTTTTTTACTACCGGTTAGAATAGAATAGAATAACAGAGTTGGAAGGGACCTTGGAGGTCTTCTAGTCCAATCCCCTGCCCAGGCAGGAAACCCTACACCACTTCAGACAAATGGTTATCCAACATCTTCTTTAAAATTTCCAGTATTGAGGTATTCACAACTTCTGCAGGCAAGTTGTTCCACTTATTAATTGTTCTGTCAGGAAATTTCTCCTTAGTTCTAAATTGTTTCTCTCCTTGATTAGTTTCCACCCATTGCTTCTTGGGGGTTCTGTGGGCGTGGCTTGGTGGGCGTGGCAGGGGAAGGATATCGCAAAATCTCCATTCCCACCCCACTGCAGGGGAAGGATACTGCAAAATTCCCATTCCCTCCACTTTCCTGCGGGAAGGATATTGCAAAATTTCCATTCCCACCCCACTCTGGGGTCAGCCAGAGGTGGTACTTGCCAGTTCTTCAAACTGCTCAAAATTTCTGCAACCAGTTCTCTGAACTGCTCAAATTTCCGCTACCGGTTCTCCAGAACCTGTCAGAACCTGATGGATTTCACCTCTGTACTGGCAGTACTATGAAGTAGTAAACTACAAAGCTAAAGAATTCAAAAGCTAGGACCAGTGCTGTTTAAAATGCAACCTGAATATATGAAAAGAATAGCCATGATCAACTAAGACTTTTAATGAAATTGCTTCAGTTGATTATCCTATTCCAATCCATTCTGTACAAGAGAATTAAATAATTAGCAAGATATTTTTTCCTTATTTCCTTAATCCAAGCTGCATAATTGTTTAACATTATTAAAGTTACTATTGTATAGAAAGCATTTAGATACAAGGTAAATTGCCAAATAAAATGAATGTTTAAGCAAACATAATATTGCCCATATCTTTTTTAATGCAGGAAGAATGGAACAGAAAATAATGAATCTACAAATGACAGTTCTTTCTTCTCCCCTTCACATTTTCAACTTTCAAATAACAGAGATTGTAGAACTCTTGGATTAGGGCCTGGAAGTTATTTCACATAGACTATGATGGAATTACAGTTTAGGGTGACTGACCAAAGAAGAAAAACATGAGATAGCAGCAGATGGGATGGGATGGGATGGGATGGGATGGGATGGGATGGGATGGGATGGGATGGGATGGGATGGGATGGGATGGGATGGGATGGGATAGGATAGGATAGGATAGGATAGGATAGGATAGGATAGGATAGGATAGGATAACAGAGTTGGAAGGGACGTTGGAGGTCTTCTAGTCCAACCCTCTGCCCAGGCAGGAAACCCTATACCATTTCAGACAAATGGTTATCCAAACTCTTCTTAAAAACTTCCAGTGTTGGAACATTTACAACTTCTGGAGGCAAGTTGTTCCACTGATTAATTATTCTAACTGTCAGGAAATTTCTCCTTAGTTCTAAGTTGCTTCTCTCTTTGGTTAGTTTCCACCCATTGCTTCTTGTCCTACCCTCAGGTGCTTTGGAGAATAGCTTGACTTCCTCTTCTTTGTGGCAGCCCCTCAGATATTGGAACACTGCTATCATGTCTCCCCTAGTCCTTCTTTTCATCAAACTAGACATACCAATTCCAGCAACTGTTCTTTATATGTTTTAGCCTCCAGTCCCCTAATAATCATCTTTGTTGCTCTTCTCCGCACTCTTTCTAGAGTCTCCACATCTTTTTTACATTGTGGCGACCAAAGTTGGATGCAGTATTCCAAGTGTGGCCTTACCAAGGCATTATAAAGTGGTATTTTTGGATGAATAAAGGTAAATCATAATCCAGAAAGATGGAAACACTTTGGATGGGGAACCGTTCAGTCTGAATGAAGTTTTATAATTGATGCTAGAAGAAATTTCACTTATTTGTATAGTTTGGGCACTTTCCTGGACTAGCA